TCCGCGGGCGCGTCTACGGCATCCAGCTATCGCTGTCGCATCGCCTCGAGTTCGACGAGCAACAATCGGCGGAAAGGAAAAACGCGTCTCTTCGCGAGACCGGGCCCGCGGATCCCCGTGGAAGACCCGTCGGTTCGTCTTCTCAGGCTCCGGCTGCGATCGCAGGTCCCGCGTCGTCCCCGGACGCGTCGGCGACCGCGCGATGCGGATGGTCGAGGGCAGGACTGCGGCAGCGGCAGCGGCGGCGAATCGAACGTGCCGACCCTCCGAGGCAACCTACAACAATAATCGTCCGACTCATGGCGCGCATGAAGCGATTGGGTAGATTGTATCGGACACGCTCAATTGATCTATGGACATCGCGCCGGGACACGCGTCTCCGGGCTGCTTACGTTATGGCAGGTGAAATCGTGAGCGCGCACGTGCCCGACGCGCATCGTTTTCTTACGAGGCGGCTCGCGTAGATCGTCCGAGATACTTGCCGTTACGTTGCTAAACAATACTGATGGCGCGCTTTCGAAGCGAAATCACTTTGGACTGGAACTCATACCGCGTTTCGGAATGGAAATATCAATGATATTTAAAAAGTATATAAGCTACGATATTTTTCAGAATTCTCTTGGAATCGTTTCATAAATTTGGAATCATTCTGTGAACTAAAATAATAATTCACGAACCATATGCATAACTCGTTAAAAATAATCGGTATTACTTCGTATTAATTTCCTTCCAAATCCAAATCCTTCAATCCGTGCTTATTCAAAGAATGCGTATATTATTGGATAGAATATGTATTGAAGTTGAATAAATTTGAATAAAGTTGAATAAAATTTTATAACCAAGCGCAACGGCGACTGTGAAACACACATTCTATTTCTTTAACTCTGTAAAAAATTACGTGCTTATTTTTTGCATACTGACAAAAATATCGCACTTGTACTTTCTGTATAAAATTAACATTTTTGTGAGCACGATACCGCGGTAATTCCGTTTCGCGATTCAGATAATGCCGGTAATAGAAGCAAATCCGCCTAACACGACGATACGAGCGCTATCCGCGAGCACGTATAAGTAATATCACGTAGGCAGATGTGTACGCCGACGATCGCTCAAGAATTCAATACGTTTCTAAATGCCAGTGTCATAAAGAGCAAGTTGTTCAACCGGACACCTACGCGAGCGCGAACGAGAACAAGGGAAGACGCTCACCTCGATCAGGCTTCTTGAAGCTCGCCCTTCACTCCCGGTACGCCGTGGTGATGCCTCGAGGCGAGCTTGTTCGCCAATTCGTGCATCACGTCTCGGTATATCACGGTGTCCAAATTCTCACCCAGCATGTAGAGGAGAAACCAATCGCCGACCTTGCTGCGACGCACTATGGTCTCCACGGCGTCCCTCCGTACCAAACGAAACCTCATTCGCAACAGGTAGACCCTCGTGCGCGGCGAAAATATTATTAGGATCTGCGGGGCAAATAGCAAATTACGTTGCAAGAAAAAAAAGAGCTTAACTGCATTGTTACATTAATTATTATGGGTTACAATTTTGTAATCGGAAGATGTAACAAAAGTACGAATATTATTTTATCATCCAGACGATAATAGACTTAAAAAATTGAGAAGTTCAAGTGGCATGCTTAAATAAAAAGTATCGATTGCGAGACAAATTGTATTTTTCGCAGATATTATTTGTAAGATACAAAATACCGAAGGTATTTTTTTCCCGAGATTACTGACCCTATATAAAACCGTAAAGAAACTGAGCACGCCGAGGAAAAGGAACCAGAACCACAGAAAGACATAGATCTTCTCGTTCACGACGTTCAGAGGCAGTATGCAGACGGCGTCGTGTCTCTCGACCTCTCCGCTGACGCCGTACTTGTAGAAGGTGCACTTGGTCATTCGTGGAAAGACGTAAATCATTGGGTCCACTCGGTCCTCCTGATCGGATTCGAGGAATCTGAGCACGTCGATGCCAAAGGTCAAAAAGGCGCCGTCGAAGAAGCGGTTCATCAGAAACATCTGACCTGCGACAATGTGCTCGTTGCTTTACAATTTTCCGTTACCCCCGTCTGTCTTTATCTCGAAGGAACTTCGACAGTCGCTTATAAAAACTATCCATAATATGTTTTAGCTTGAAAATATTAAATCATGATATTGAGATAATAATATCGAATCATAACTTCGCATTTAATCAAATTATACGATATGTATTAGATATACATATATTTTTATATAGCTTTCATAGTTGATTGATTCACACGTGTGAACGATTATATTCTCATACACGTTTACGTTGATAATCATATCACATTGCAATTGGAACGCGATAGACATCGAATAAAATTGACGAGCTATCTCATAGCAAATCGGGTAGTCGAGTTCGCAAGCGGTTGGCCAGCTGTATCGCTGCCAACTTGTACCGTGAATCATTCATTCATTCGCCGCTCATTATACGGCATTCATTTTTCTTATAACGCGCGTTTGTAAAATTAACGCGGACGAGCTAGTCTAGAAATAGCTCGTTGAATTCCATTATTATCCTTTCTATGAAAATGATTGCATTGTTGCGCATTGCACAATCTTGAAAATTTGTTAACGTAGTTAAAATGCTTCACGTCCATAAAGAAATTTAATTTTTGTGTCGTTTAGGTGTATATATAAATGCTTGCACGAATTTTGAGATTACTTAATCAAGACTGACATAAACATGAATATTTCTTGACGCTTTAAAGATATTTGACGCTCGGCAGATATTTAATTGTTTAATTTTTTATCACGGCGTCTTTATCTGCTCTCTTGATATTATCGACGAAACAAGGTAAAAAATATAAAATAATGGAATATATATTTTTTAAACATTTATTCAATGTATGTATATCTATAGTAACGTAACAACGTAAAATAACAACAAGAATTCTACTTCTTAATCTCATCTGCGCGGGCACATGCATCTTGAAAGCAGCGAAAGTGAAACGCTTTTAAATACCATTATTCTTAACCGCGTAACTGGTTTATGTTTATCGATCGTAAACGGAAGATACGCGGTGACGTTCGCTGCCTAACGGGTCCGCAAATTCCGGAATTCGCTCGTGTTACGACATCACGACGGGAACGTACTCCTCGTTGTTGATCGAGGAGCTCAAACATTGACTCGACGCGGACCGAAAAAAAAGAAGGAGGGTGGGCTACTCACCGACCACATTCAGCAGCGCGAGGACCTCGCATAGGTAGTACCTGTAAGCCCACCAATTGTGAAAGCGAAGGTTCTCCCAGAGGTAGTCGAGCAGCATTTTCTTCTTTTGCTTTTTCTCCACCTCGGAGCAGAGTCCGATGTCGAGATCCATCATAAGGGCATGAATCTTGCCACCCTCCCAGCCCTTCCAGAGCCAGCGCGGGGTATAAAAGAGGATCGCCTGCGAGCAAAGTGCCGAGTGAATAAATACGCCGACGAATCGGCCAATCGGCTGATATATTACGGGGAGTTCTGTGGGAGGCGGATCTCTACTTACGTACCAGTGCATAACCGACCGCGATAGCACGCGAAGGGAGTTATCATTATTGTATCTCGCGCCCGATAATTGCTGATTAAAACAATGCACGGGGGCCGCTCGCACGTATGCGAATGAAATCCTATTTTATGAATTTTTGGCCGTTAAGTCTGGTTAGCCGCACCTCCTTTCGAAAGGCGGAGAGTATGTCGCAAGCTTAATTATTTCATATCGTTATTGCTATTTATCACGATTAGGCATCTGGGTGTTGTACGAAATTACATACCGCCCATTACTCATAATGTAATTGCGCTGTAACGAATTAACGGCAAAATTTAATTTGCAATTAACTAACTTATTAGTTACGTTACTTCACTGGACTTTTAACAGCCTGACACTCTTTTTTCATAACTCGGTTATAAATTAAGAATTAACGCTTAACGTACGATAACATTTAACATAGATCACGCAACATATTACTGTCGGAAGACTCGAGTCCATCGTCAAGTTTTATCGCACGCGATCTTTATCGCGATATTTTATTAACTTCCTGTAATATTTTTATTTGATAATATCTCAGAATACATGGCAGATTAATAGTCGTGCCTGGAGGGGTAATCCGAGCTAATTGAATCGAGGCAATCTTATCTCACATTAGAAATTTCCGAAGCGATGTCAATGCACTTATCGAGACCACGATGTGGGAGTAAACCCTTTCTCACGGTATATAAAGCTTTCTGGCTTATCGCCAGGGGCCTCGGGTCGTGCTTGCCGTAGTACGCGATCGAATATAGATACGTATACGCTCGTCGCGCGTTACCCCCTTACAACGTGTTGGCGAGTGTTCAGAAAATTCGAGCTAAATTGCAATTTACGGAAAGCTCGGATGATTGTTAATGAAAGTACGTGCTTAAGACGTGCGTCGGAACTTTAATGGGTTTCCCAAAACGTACTTTCCGACGAGCCACATTGTTTCTGAGAAGCGCAGAAACGACTTATTATTTTGGCTTGGAGACAAATGACGGTGCAAAATGACGGTATAATTTTGTTGCAGAGAATACTAAGCGGTCCCCCTGTATAATAATTGCGTAATATTGTGCAAATTCTATGTATATAAAATCTGTTATAAAGTCTATATAAAGTACAATTCAGTAAACCGGAGTAAAATTATATAATATAAACGATAATTTATTTACGACAACTTTTAAAATAATAAGCTTTTTAAAAAGTACTTTAATACCTGCATTAGTACCTATACCTATAAGCCGAAAAAGTCACGGCAACAAATGGCAGGAAGTTAAACTACTCTCTTATAAAGTTTTGCAAAAATGAATTATATGGATTATATAAAAATGTATTGAATGTTATATAACTCGTTCAATAACCTTAATGTACGATGATTTACGCATCGGCGACAGGATTTTTCAGAATGGGTGGTCTGACCTCGCTCTTGACGAGATTACGAAGAAACATAAAATAAACGCGCATGTCAGACCGATTGTACGATTCGCAGCTTTTAGTATTATCGCGGGAGAACGCCTGCGTTGTAAAGAGAAAAGGAAAATGCGTGACCGAAAATAGATCTGTGTGCTTCTCTTCTTCTCTCTTCCCTTGCTCCAGCTAGGATCGAACTGCGACCACATTTGCTGCCCCGCTGGAAGGACATTTATATCTCGAATCCCTTTCAATGTTCAAACTTGTAGATTTGCATAAATTCCTTTAGATATGCAAATAGGCTCAAACACATCGATGATTACGCATTTGCTGTTTGCTCTTTTTATACAATAATACAAAATGAAATAAAATGAAAGTAACGTCGTAATTAATTCTCCGTAGACTTTCAATAAATCATATAATGCTCATATATTTAAGAAAAACAAACAAATTGTATCTGAGCTTGAGAATGCTATAAGATATTCTATAAGATATATTTTTAGTTGTAATGGAACTTTTGCAGAGGGATGAAAAGGTCGTTATAAGGATATTTTTCTTATACAATGGAAGTCTAATAACCATAATTCAAAATTAGACGTGTAATAAGACGAATGGAACGAATTTATGTACGAATATATACTTATAACGAAAAATATTTATTTGAGAGAAGGAATCGTGTATATTTCGCCATGATTCCCGGCCGATGCGTAGCATCTATGTGTCACGTTTGCCTCGAATAAATTTATTTAAAACAAGGCTTAAAACATTCGAGAAGAAAGAAACGAAGAAGGAAGAAGACGGGACAAAGAAGTGTACTTTTAACGTGCGTAAAAATAAGTGTAACGTAAAATATAACTAATTTTTCAAGCTATTAAATATAAATTTATATATGTAATCAACAGAAAGCGTGTTTTACTAAATTTTATGAAATGTTTTTATTAAAATGCATTGTTATATTGTTTATTTTATAACTATTATCGAAAATTACTTATTTGAACAAAACAATTTATTTGGAAAACTTTCTATGTACCTAAATTTATTTTGCAGCTTGTTGTCTTGTGAATAAGAATTTCTTTCAAAGTGTTATTAATTTTGCAGGGAGATGTAAAATCTTTATAAGACTGAAAGGCTAGTTTTTTGAAACCATCCGTATACTACGTCACGTTTTCAATTTTATTAAACGTTAATCATGTTAGCGGTGTGCTTTGTCAATTTATTAGCGGTATATGTTATGGATGTTTTGTGTCAAACGTTGTTTAGAAAACACATTCAGATACGCAGCAATCAATTGCAAAATAAAAGGCGGATGCGCGATTAATCTAAGAGCGAGAGAGTTGTAGGAACATCGGACGTATAAATAGAGGATAGTGACTCAAGAAAAAGAACGATATTGTACGTGCGCGAAGACGAGTAATGCTTGAGGTATGGGAGGCGGAGGTATGATCAAAGATAGCATCGAAGGTACATATGCATTTTAAAGGCGCAACTATCTGTAACCTGTATTTATGTATTGACGTTATGAACAAGGATTATCAATCATAGATAAACGAATACACGCATTTGCCGATCGTATAGTCGTATACTGCTCATCGATACTGATTCATTCCTGCATTTTCTGAACTGTCTTAATTTAGATATGAACATTCGATCGCTTTCGCATGTTTCGTCATGTAAATAACTTTTCGCTTTTTCATATATTGTATAAAATTAAAGGCGCTCGAAGATTTAAATGTTAATCGATGTCCAAAGAGTCATATAATTTGCAAGAAGGATATTTCACGCATAGGGATAAATAAAAAATGATATTTATTATGAAAATTTCTAATATTCTTTAATCCAGTCGTTGACTGTTAGCATTTACTACAGAGAAAAGGGTAATTACAAAATAAAATTTAATAAAAGATAAGAAAAGAGATGAAAAATAGAGAAGAGGGTATAACGAAAGGTCGACAGAGATGCGAAAGGACGATAAGAGATCATTGCTTCTTACTTGCAGTAGCAAGAGGAAGATAACCCACTGATAGTATTTGTGCTGCTTGATCAGCGGGTGGGGCGCATGGCCGTGCCCTCCCTCGCCCTTGGTGTTTGACACCCCGGGGTAAGGCACGGCTTGACCGATGCTCATGTTGAACGCGCGTACCACGCTGTACGTGGTGTGAAGCCAGCAGAAGGTCTCCAGCACGGCCTTGTCCACGGCCGTAGTGGCTTCGCAGTGTATCGGCGAGCCGGAGATACTTTTACAGGCGAGGGTGAGGCAACCGGCCAGCAGCACCGCCACCGTGGCGCGATAATGCAACCGAAATATCATCGAGTCCTCGGCGATCCTGTGCACCTTGAAGAGCGATCGAATCGAGCCAAACAAATCGATCATTTTGAGCATCAGCGTCATGTTAAACAGATGGGGATCGGGGGAGAGTGACTTTGCTCAAGTCGCTTGGCAATCCCTCTCGCGACGTCTCCGTCCTTTTTGTCCTCTTCGTCGTTTTCTTTCACCAGCGAGCTGACTCTATTTTTGCACGGAGTAGTCTCGATCCCATTGGAAGTCCTTTGAACAAACTGCACGATGTTGAATCGCTTTTAGTCTTTCCTGGCTCATTTGAATATCTCGAGGCTCGAGGTAGCAATATCGAATAAAAGTGTAATTTTTATACTGGTTTATACATCTCTCTATCGTTGATGCGAATTTTAATTTTATATCTAAGTTGATTTTGTCGGATCCGAACTTCTGTTTTACTATTAAAGAAGCAGGGACGCCATTATCGCTTCAATTAAAACGTCGAAAATAGATACGGAGTAAATCGTTGGAAGAGCACAATTGCAATCGTACAAGTGGACCACCCGCGTAGTTCTCTTCGTGCTCTCTACGAGTCTTGAGATTGGACTAAAGGCGTAGTGTACACTGTATGCATTTTGTGGACATACAAACCGTCGTAAAAATCACATGGTACTGTTTACTTTCCTGACTTCCCTTTAATTTGCTTTAACTCCCTTCGTTTATTCTTCTCACTTCAATTCTCTCTTATTTTTTTGTCTTTCATATTTGAATAAAATATTAGTCTTCGAGCTTTAATGCTCTCTCCCTTATATGTAACACGTGCTGATTTCTTCTCATCTTTATAGTTGTATCAATGAAAAGAATTGACGCAGTTCGCCATATGTATTTTTTTACAGGTTTCATCCTTAAAAATGCCTTTACAAATTACAAGGCTGTTTTATAAACATGCAAGATCATGAAAACTACCTACAAACACTATTTATTCATCACTTTATTTAATTTTTAATAGAAAACTATTGTTTATATTTCTCGCACCTCCAACTGTTCGCACACTTTTATTCTTATTTTTTATTCTTATTTATTGCCGCAGTTAATGCATAATTCCATCCACTTTGTTTTGCGGTAGAATTTAATTTAATCCGAAGTTTAGACGGGACAAAACGGTTACGAAGGAGAAATTAAAAACGATAAACTAAGTTGGAAAAGAAACACGCACGTGAGTCTCGGATACAAGCTGTCAGAAGACTGACCGGACTTGAGAGGCATCCCTTGACCTCGATACTAAACCCATAACTTATATTATCTTGCAAGCGTCTGGGTCAGCATGATCAGCCAAAGGCTGATCGACGAAACATCAAAATGTATTATCCGCAATCTGACATAGTGTCACGCATCTGATATAATGCACGAATAGTTTCACCGAAACTATTTGACATTCAATGTATAAGAAATATGTTTTCAATTTTGTCATTTTGTTGCCAAGTTTGAAACGAGCCCACGAGGTCTAATATTATAGCGAGATTCTGCACATCTCTCCGAAATCATCTATGACAGAATTATGAATATTAATAAAGCTCGGTCACGTCATCGCGCGCGGTGTATATCGCACCGATGACGTTTCTCGAAGGTCAAAATTAAAACGGAAGAAAATTTTGATGCATAGGATACATTGATTGACGTTACATTGACGCGTAAACATTTATAATGCGAGATATTTAGAGCAAACTTTACGTGCGCGTAATTGAATTCGCGCGCGATAACGTATCATGGGAGAAATCTATTTTTGTTCCGAGGTCAAGAAAAGAATATCCGAAAGCAAGGTAATTAATGGCCGTGAGACGTGAGATTTCGTTTCCTAAAATCTTTTTATCTTTCCTCGTTACGTTACATGACGCGACGGTTACATTATCATAAGTATGAGAGCAACGGATTCCTGTAAGCTCATCGCTCTAATTGTATCGCGGATATGGGAGGTAGAAAGCGGTTCGACGATCTCCATCATCGAAAATACGCTTAATCGACCGTATTACGAGTGCGGCGCGCTCCACATATTCCAGGCAACGAAATTAAGCGCGTCATTACCATGTGTAAAAGAACATTTCGGCGGACCAAAATGTGGACACGAAGCCGCATTTGTCGTCACCCCTTTAAACTCTTTCCCCTCCCGGACCCCTCAAAGAATATAGGGAGCGATAAAAAGACGATGAAATCGACACAAGATATTCGCGTTCTGATTAAGAGAACCGGGATTGATCTGCTAGGGTACTCATTAAACCATCCTTTTCGTCGGCTCTTTTAGCCGCGGGATTTCGAGTAATTTCGCAGTCGTTAACGTGATCGTCCAATCAGAGAAACTGAAAAGAATGTTAATTCTTTCGTCCCTAATGTTCTCTGTCAGAGAGATCATCTTTTTTTCGTGTGTGATTTATATCTGAGCTTTTCAATGCTTTTTATAATTTTACAATTTAAACAAAATTTTTAAATAAATAACTATTAATTACGGAAGGATTAAAATAACATTTGTGGTGTACACGTTACGCGATGTAAACGTGGCAAAGAGCAGACGGAATACACGCGTATAACAGGCAGGATAAAATTCATTGTTCGATAAACGGCGAAATTAGCTCAACGATAATTATAGAAATACGTGAGGAGATATATCGACGTAAGGGAATACATCAGTAAAAAAGCAGCGACTACTCGCTGTAAACAGTACAGTTTGCTTTGAGACGCCGGGCGAAAAAACACACGGCGAAGGGAGACGAGGAAATAGAAAGAGAACCTTCGTAGAGGGATAGGCTGTCGTCGACTGAGTTTATTTTGAGACATCAATGCGAGTAGCATGAAAGAAACGCGAGAGCACAAGGAAAATACTACGGATCGCTATTTCAGGTGTTCGCGCCGCGCGCCATTAACCCGTTTCACCCAAACTTTCCTACGAACGATTTTTTTTTTTTTTTCATGAAATAATTAGCTGCGACAGGCGACAGCAAGTGTTCGATACTCGCTTTTTAACGGCAACATTATCGTCTACACTGCGACATTCGTATTTCTTCCGAATAATTTGCATATATGATGTTACTATCGCGCCAAAGCTCACTTATACATATTTTCAAGTTACGTAAATTATGTAATTTATAACGTACGGCGTTGTGTAATGTATGACGCCAATCATGCAACCGTGCGTGGCACACGGTTTAACTTTCCGGGGCCGAAAAGGCGAAGCAGTCCGCGATCGTACGACCGTCTTTGATCGTAATCGTCTTTGATCGAGCGCACGAGGCGACCGCACGAGCAGCCCTCAATGACGAAGTTTAGTGTATTGTTATACTTAAGGTTTCTTTCTTGGCAATGGACTAGATGGTAAGCCTTGAGCGAGCGACGTGTGCAGGTCGCTCGAGGCTCGAGCGCATAAGCAGGAAGGGATTGATGGATGAGTAACGCTTAACGAGTGCAGCGCTAAAAGCACCGGTACGTTTTATGGCCCGTACGCAAAACCGCACATTCGACGCTAAACGTGGGTGCTTGATGTTTCACTTGTCTGATAGACAAGGTGCGCGTTCGCGTTCGCGAAAGGCATCAGTTAGGCATCCGCGCTATTACATTTGGCGTTAAATAGACGCGTATAAATTTTGATGGGATTTTTGAATTACGAATTTCTGCGTAGCCCGGCCAGTTTTGCGTGCGGGCAATGTTTCGATATCCGCACTTGCAAAAACAGCCACGACATATATCACGTTAGTCACACACACTCGCGCAGTCGGCAGCTTGTTATTATTATTCAGCCATCCAAAGCTTTACTTGTTAATAGTATTATTCTGCCATTCAAAATTTTACTCGTTAATATTACACGCATTTACATGCATATATTTATACGTATGCATACATCTATCTTTTCTTATTTTTTTTACGCTTAAATTTAAATGTTCTACTAAATCAAATCAAGATATCTGAATTCTTCGCGCATACTTAATTATTATTAACGATAAATTCACCCGAATACAAGCGGTCGAGGTCAAGAACGCTGAACGAAAAGAAAAACGGCATATATCAATGATCGATCGATTACCTGGAGGAACAGCATGAAGCAGACCCACTGATAGTATCTGTACTCCTTTCGCTCGGTTTCGGGATACGATTTGGAATTGTCGACGCCGGGAAAGGGCACCTCCAGACCTTCTTTCTTTCGGTACGCCGCGGTTATCGTATATGTGCTGTGTATCCAGCAGTATGTGTTCAGGACGTCCTCGGGCAGGTCCTTACTGTGTATGCAGTCGATGGGATTGCCGACGTACTGGCGGGTTGTGACGATCAGGGAGAACGCTATCAGCAGGATCACAGTCAGGCTGTAATGCAAGCGGAAGACGGCGCTGTCGATGTGGATGTGCGAGATTTTTATGAGACTCTTCAGACCGCGAAATATGTCCAGCATTTTGGTATCAGAACGATACCAAAATAAGAGATCGGAGGCCACGCCGGGGCACGGCGGGTCCCCAGAATAACGCTGCCGCAGGACTTCGCGTCCTTCCACGTCGCTCTTTCGTACTTTCTCTATATTTTCTACCGTTCCTGATTTCGAGACCGTTTTTCAGCCGCGTTAAAGTTTCGCTTTTCGTCCACTTTTTCACTTCCGAGCACGGCACGAACCTATAACTTGAAACGAAAGTCCCGAAAACGCGCATGGATCTTGCTAAAAAATGTTAACTGTGTACATTTTCTTATTTCGTTTATACTTCCCAACTTCTGTAGACTTTTTTTTCAAAAAGAGATCTATTTCACTTACTTCATTTTCTTCGATTATTGTCTCTGCGGTCCTTTTTTGGTTTGCAAGAAAATATCTTCCTTTGATCGTCAAAAAATATATTGTACATATTTTATTTGCATCGCATTTTTAATAATCACTGTGGCATTTTTGATAGATCTATATATTCTATCTTTGGTCGATCCTTTGGTTGAACAAAACTGTGTGAAATATTATCTTCTTACGACTTATGCATTATTTAAAATCTTATCCTTAATGCTATAAATACTGTCTTCTTAAGTAGCGACTATTGTTCATCTTTGGCATTAAAATCTTCTGAACAACATTAGCCAGTCTCACATTTCTTCCCGTAAAGAAACGTGGTACAATCCTCTCACCGCTCCGTATCTCTCCTTTTTCTTCGCATTTACTTCGCCTTATTCGACGAATGAGCGATTTTTCTTCGGAAAAGTTTGCCGCACGGACGACGATCCCTCGATCGCCGAATCGCGTTGCGAATGTTGCGATTGGCGCTGACGGGTCTCTTCGAATAATCCGCTATTCCTACGGCAATAGTCCTCCCGCGCATTCTTCTCGTATTCTTACTCACGTTCGTATCGTAGCTTCCAATCTTGACTGTTCGAATACACAGATATTCGGTGTGACACCGTCGGCCTCGGTGACACGCGCAGATTCGCCGATCTCGCGCATCTCCGCGAGTTTTCGATTCGAGGAGCAGGCCGGCGAGAGATGCAGTCTCTTAAAATATCTTATCTCACGATCTCCCTCGGGTATTCTAAAAAGGAGAGTTTTCATTCAGATTCTTACTTTACGGTTCCGCTGTCATTTGCACGAGGTAAAAGTTATACGAAACGATCGCAACCGTACAAGATTGCGCGCTTTGAAATGTTTACACGAGTCCTTCGCGGGTTACCAAAATTTGTACCGCGGTATTCTCGGAAAGTGTCCGCGAAAGCGCGAAAAATCTTTACGACTCGCCCCGCTCGCATGTTTCGTCTCTCGTCTTACGTTTTGATGCCGCAATAAAGTCACCGTAAATCCCTCGCCGTTACTTTTCCCTTTTTTTTTTTAATGTCAAGGGGGAGCGGATATGATTTGTCTTATCGAAAGCCTGACGCTGTCGTCTAATTTGGAAACATCCTCCTTCATAAAGCGATGAGAGTGACGCGTCTCGGAAAATTTCGGAGAAAGCGCACGAAAATATCTGCTCGCGACTCACGTTGCGTTACGATGTTTTCTGCCCGAAAACATAATTAAATTGATCATTATAAGAAAATGTATTATAAAAAAAGAAAACTTTCAATATTAAGGAAAAATCCTCTCTTGCTGACGTTTATTGTTAAATTTTCTCTCTTGCAAAAACTAGTTAAAATAAGTATATTCCTACTTCTGTGCACGTTTTCGAACACAATAAATATTTATTAAATGATACAATTAAATTAATTATTATAAGAAAAGCATACGTTAAAAGGAAGAACTCACAATCAGTATTAAGAAAATACACCCTTCCTTTTGCAAAAATTACTAAAAAGGGAAAGGTTCTCTCGGAGTTTACGAAAAAACCCTTGCTGACATTTATTATTTTCCTTTATTTTATAAGAACTATTAAAATACAGTAAGAATTTTCCTTACTTTTGTGCACATTCTCGAACACAGCAAATATATTTATTGTTGTTCTTGGAAACAGGTAGGGCTTTCAAAATTGACCTGTCAAAAAAGATCGACTTGTCTTCCGTTTCACGCTCCGTAGAGAAGCGATTCAATTTAGTTTCACGCAAGTAAAAGATCCGATTACGCGTTCACCGTAAAAGCCGGATTAATTCTGCCTGACGAATTCGCGAACAAATTCTCATAGTCTCATACATCCAAGTGAGTTCGCGTTATTTCCGATTTTGTTTCCGAACGATTTCGAGATCAAGTATGAGCCGGTGACCGACTATTTTCAAGATAAAGTATTGCCGAGATATGAAACCGTATTTGCTCATGAACTGGCGAAATTATCGCGTGTGCTTCCTCGGGTCGAGGTTAAATCCGAAAACCGGGCTTTATGTTCGCGAAATTTAAACAATTTCCTCAACGAAGAAATACTGTTATGCACGCACTCGACAGCCGCGGCGGTTCTTTGTCGATGTTACGAAAGTATAAGGGTTTTCTTCGACTCGGTGAAGTTGTGTTGTTGGGTCTGTGCCAAGATAGGATGCGCTCGCCGTAACCATTTTAGAGTTGAAACGTTTTTGGGAAAATAAAACATTTTACACTTGTTTCCGCGCCCGCTTGCGCGCGCGGTCCGTCGATGTTTTAACGGGGTGACCGCGTGGAAATGGAAATGAGAAACGTTAAAACGTGCCAAAATTATCGAACGCTTCGAAACGTAAAGAAACAATCTATGTTGGACATTAACGATTTTTTTTTTCCCAGACTAAATTCCGAATAACCCTGATGGTTCTTCTCGCGTGTCATCGGTAGTGCTACATAAATCTCCCCGAGAAAAATCTACGGAAAAATCGAGATAGACTCCACCTGCTTATTAATACCTGCAAAAATATGAAGTGTAAAATCCTACGAACGTATCCAATAAGTCGTGTTTGTATCGCGATTCGCTTATGATACGCGAGCGCATTCTGATTAATCAACTTAAGAGCGTTATAATTTATACATAATCTTAATTTGCATATATAATTATCTCCATATTTTCAGTTTGCGATTTCAGATAGACGAGCGTAAGAACCAATATCAATTCACGTACTTAACTCTCCGTCCTGCCAATTAGCCACCAATTTCCTGCTAAGTCACTGCTGCACAGCGATGGCTGAGCGCAGATAAAGTTAATTCTTGAATATTAGCGTCGCTCCCTCCCTTTCCCCTCCCCCAAAGCGGATATCCGCAGTCCCATCCTTCTTATTTGACTTCGCGGAGATGAGCAACGAACGCGCGCGGCGTAAATACGAGACGCGAACGTAGTCGGGAGAAACTTTTTCCAGATGCGGCTGAGCGATAGGGAGTATCGCGGATGATAAGTGAGACAAGTGGGTACCGGCGGATACACAACGAGCACGGGGGATTGCGAAGTCTCGGCGAAATGCTCGAGGGGCCCCCCCTTCCCCCTCGCTTTATTTATAACCGGCGCGCGATGGGGTCTCTCTCTCGTAATTTTCCCCCCCTCCCCCCGAGTCCCATTAATGCCACGAGCCGGCGGCGGGCTCGGGTAAGCGAGAAACGATCGAAAACTCCGCGGCAATTAACGCACCGGCCACTTCAAAGGCACATCCGCTTTGATACGACCCCCTCCCCCCCTTTTCCCTTGTTCCCCCTCTAACCCCCTAGTTGGCGTATATCGGCGCGTTATGACGCGCCTCACCATCCATTTGTACCGCCGAAAATGAGCCGGGCTAGGCAAGAAATTAGGAGGCCCGTAATGCTGTTTGACGTGCGCGCTATTCTATTTTAGCGTTTACGCATGCGACTGCACTTCGCCGCCACGAGCGAAACCGCCCGGCGGCAAACGGTGCGGATAATGTGGGTAAGCGCTCCTCGGAAATACCTGAGGGCAAAACGAAGCGAGAGAGAGAGAGAGAGAGAGGTGCGCTAAAAGGGACTTACCGGCGTTTTCCGCGCGTCTAGCACTTTTAGGGTGGATTCACACCACCCGGGAGCGAGGGTCGTTCCGGTCAAAAGACAGGATTGTGATTTCAAAATTAGACAGTCCCATAATTCGAACTACGCATTGGATGACTAAAACAGCGTGGCCTTACTTAAATCAATACTTTGAGTAACATTTTATTTCTAACTACCATGTGTGTCGAAATTTATTATTTTAACACAAAACAGTATTATTTTAACTCCATTGTTTCAGTCAAACCAACGACATATTGAGTAGCAGTAGCGCGACCTATATAGGAATAGTTAAAAATTACTCAAATTGAGTATATTTTGACGAATTTAACAATGTAAGCCAGTGACTTGTCTCCGATATGCGACAAAGATTCTGATAAGAAACTGCGTGGCGCGATTTGATCCCGTAACAATAATTCGATACCGTTGTCAGAGATCCGAGAGGAGATTCGTTACGCGGAATCATATCATAACTCGATCCACGATTATCGATGAATATATCGGAATATTTGGAGCAATGTGATCGTTTCGCACAGTGTGAATCGAATAATCGTTTATTGCGTGGGATCGTATCTTGACTTTAACTGTAAACTACTAGACATTTTCTATCGTAATGTTATTTCCAAGAACGTTTAATCGAATCGCAAATGGGATCCGCGCGCACGATCACCTCTGCGGTGTAAATCGAGCCTTAATGCGTCCTGCTCCCTCTCGACCCCTTCGAGCTCATTCAGAATGTTTATCATCCGCGTTCTTTGCGCAATGGTATTAAGTATGGACTATGGCAATGCCATTCCGACTTTTTTAGCCGTTACCCCTTTAAGATGCCATTGCAGACATACCTTGAAAAGCGCTGATGGTAATCGCGCAAAGTCTTTCAGATTGCCGGCATCGCTCGCCGGACTTTATCCGTGATGCTTCTAACAAAAGAAGCCTTTGCAGAAAATCAAGGATACAATCCGATAAGCATCTATGTTATTACGCGAAATGATTTTATTTTTAGAGACAATATATAAATTTCTATACAGAGTAAATTGGGAAACAATATATTTAATTAACGGGTTGCTTGCGAAAGTAATTAAAATTCAAAATTAAATGCAAATTAATAAGTCAACCGGCTTAATATAATCAATAGAAAACAGCCCGCTAAGTTTTTACACGTGTCGTACAGAATGCAAGGCGTTTTAATGGACCGCACCTCGCGAAGATAACACGTGTAGCCTAAATAGCTAAATTAGTCCAGCGTGTCCACTTCTCTCCGCACGTACAAAAATACGAGCCTAATGTACGACTCCGGGGGTACTCTGGGGGTACTTGAAAATTCTTACTGCTCGAGTTGTATAACTCACTGTTAGATTACACAACGTTTGTAACGGCACTTCGGATATTTACTAATGAAGGAACGCGCGAAGAGCGACGGAAGTGATACATCACCGTTAATAGGTGATACTCAAGACAATCGCCGAGGAGAGACCGATATAGAGGACGTTCACGCGCGATCTCGTATAACCGGGATTTGTGAATTAGCGCTGACGCGCTTGTAGTAAACGCGTTTCAAGCGGCGCGGGCGCGGATTTAAATAAAGCGTGCAGCGCGGCGTTATTCGATTAGGATCAGATCGGGCATCGTGCGGGCCGGGCCCGCGTCGTGTCCGCTTTATATCGCGCGCGAATCAAGATATCCGCGATGACGAATGGAGCTCACGACACATTTACAGCCGTTTAAATTGATACAACGGCGAAGATCAACGTATCAACGTGGAAAGGTGGACGAGAAAGCTTTCGACCGCATGTCTCGTCTCGCGTTACGTTCCAACTCGTATATATCTCGTCTCTTTTGACGTAGCGCAACTTTTCGACATTCAAATACTCTCTGTGTGATGATGATGAAGAAGACAGATGAGGAAGCAAATGAAAGTTTTATTGAACAACGTAAATTAGAATTGTAGATATTGTTACACTCGTGGCCGACATTGCACTCGCGGCGATTGCGAGAAACGCGTTATACGCACTTTAATTCGAATGTAATTCAACGAGCGGTAATAAGTCAGGGGGCAAGAAGTAACGGGAGGTTCGACTGAGAGATTTGAGACGTCCGTTTGCTGTGAAGGACCGCGGCGGACACGTTATTGTTCTTTGTTCTATCGTTCGTATATATGTATATGGTAATATGTTCTTCTTTATACTCTTCGGAAGTAATTTTATAATTTCGGTGCTATCAATGTAGAAACATAAAAAACAAAATGTAAATTCAGATAACAGAAGCGTAGTGAGAATGTGTAGCACCCGTGGGTATTCAAGCTCCAAACTTTTATACAAAACAATTTTTCATAAAATTAATAATGATCACGTGTAGATACATATTTTATGTTTTCATATCTAGTCTCATTATCTAAACATCGAATAAAAGGGCATACTAAATATATTTCACGTAAATATAATCTTAAAAATGATTAAATTAATTGAAATCCGATATTAAGGTCAGTAAATTTATTAAATTAATTATTTACTAACCCCAGGTAGCAAAGTGACGTCAAATGACGTCTTAATAACGTCTTAATGACGTCAATAAGACGTCTCTAGACGTCATCTTTGCTACTTGGGAAATGAATATTAATTCTCTCTCTGAATCTTTTACGTGTCATAAATCGTGGTGTCATTATCGTTTCTTTGAAATGATCTTTTTTTATCTTTCGGCACTAAGAAAATCATACAAATGGATTCACATGTCTTTTATGAATTATATATTTGTTGAACTTGGTAATGTGCGTAACTCATGGCAGTTTGAGATATGTGTTATATATCATACGTAGCTTCACTGGCGGATCCTGGAAGGAAAGGTTAAACTCCCTTCTTCCAAATAAAAAGAAATCAGTTTCGCCGGATCTGTTTAAAAAATCTAAATGCATTAAACGTTAAAGCAGGATCAAAAGTTTCACCACGTCCTCATCGTTGATCCTGGAGTAAAAGCTTAGCACGCGTTCTCGTGACTCTTCCCAAAACTTGTTCAAGATTACTTAATCCTGTTTCCCTTTGTTTCCCTTTGTTTCTACTGTTCATTCTCTACGGCTTTATTAAGTGGTGAAAACAGTATAGAGGAATGAGCGTAAAACAGTGATAATGGCATGTCTTTCTTATCCGTCTCCTTCATTTTTTCTGCTCGCACAACTCGCCGAGTCGTAAAGACGAAGCAAAGTTTACTCGATATATCATAAACGAAAATATAAGAAAGAGCGAACTCTTTCGCGCGCGCGCTTTTTCTCTCAGAATATTCCGTACCCGCGATTTCTCGTAAAGCGAGACCGATAGTCTAAACACGGGGCTCCGCGCGAGATGCATGAGACCTTTCGACCGATATTCCAAACACATGCAGAATCCGTGCGGGACGAGACCGTGCTCGGTCGAGTCACTCGTCCAGCATGCTCGCCACGTTCGCGAGCAATGCATCATCGCGAACAAGGGTCGTCCGAAAATATCCGAGGCGGCAATCAGCGATTGAAATCCGCGTAATTTTCGCCGAAACGCGGTTTTTCCGACTTCGCCAAACAGATAAAAACGCCCCTCACGTCGAGGTGTACCTTTCATCAGATCCTCAATCAAGCGAAGCGGATATCCGCGGCGTTGAAATTTAAAATACTTGAAGTTACATTCCTGACGTTGGAGAAATTTTGCAACGTCACGCTATTAAATATTCAGAGGTGAAATTTAAATCAATACTTTGAGTTGAATAACATTTTGTTATTTTTCACCACTATGTGTGTGGAAATTTATTATTTTAACACAAAACAGTATTATTTTCACTTCATTGATTTAGTTAAATTAACGACATATTGAGTGACTATATCTGAAGAATAATTAAAAATGACTCAAATTGAGTGTAATTTGACACTACGAATTTAATAGTGCACATCTCGAGTACGGTAAACGCTAAAAAATCTCGCGCGTCACTTTTCACGTAAATATAATTATAAACAAGTGCGACAATTTCATCCTACACTTGCATTACCGTTCGCCGTATATACGTTCGCTAACGACGTGACGCCGGGATTAGCGTTTATCGCGCACTCGAGACACGCGGATATGCCGTTGCATTAAATCTCTATAATAATCCCTCGTATAACCGCGCGAAGGAAGTTTATCCCGGTGTATCCGTAATCTTCTATAATCTCGCGCGAAGAACAGAGATTTCTCCCCGAGGCACCCGCGGGAAGAAGAGGACCTACGTTTTCCGGTGACAATCCGCGACCGGCTGGAGGGAAAAAGAGAGAGGAAAGCGGAGATCGACTTCATTCTCATGCTTGTCACTCGCGTGGTGCACGCGCGCCGATCGGCGAACCGATCTCTCGGCCTGGCCCGGCGTGGCGCGGCGTCGCGTCGGGAGGATTCTAGCCCGACGACTTCCGGCGGTGAAGCCTGGCTGCGCGTCGCGACGCCGTGGACGACCGGCGGTGGCGGCGATTCGTCATTCCGTCGGCGCGATCAGTGAGATCAGTCGCGGTCGTTCGTCGCTGACCAACGATTCCGTCGCCGTCGCGACGCGACGGTCGGTCGACCGTCGACGGATGAGCGACAGATCAGCCGCGATGAATCGCGGTGGCCGCGGCGCGATCGCGTCGACGACGGCCTCCGCCTCCTCTTCCCGCTCGTCGGCGTGCGGCAACGTCGTCGTCGTCGTCGGCGTCCTGTCCACGTCCACGCTCCCGTCGATTTCGTCGCACGCGCACGCACATTTCCGGCGGCCGCTTCCCGCCTCGCCGCACCGCGCAACGCGTATTGCACACACGCTCGGTTCCGCGCGGGCGGACTCGCTCGCACTGCGCGCACGTTCCTCGGCTCGTCGACTCGTAGCCGGGATCAGAGCACGGCATGGCATGGCATGGCACGGCACCTCCGCTTAGGAGCACGGAGACGAGGAGTCGGGCACGCTCCAGGAATAGAAACGCCGAACCCGAACCGAGCGTGCGGGCACGAGCGAGCGTTGCGCCGGGAGCGCGCGTCCACCTCGCGCGTTGGAGACGCGAGAGGCGAGAGAGACTCCTCGCCGCCGCTGCCACCGCGTACACTCGTCCCTAATTTAGGACCGATTCTTACGGCATCTATTAGCTCTGATGGGGGTCATTTTTATCTTCCACTTTTCATTACGCCGAATAGATAGGCGATTTCTCATACGAATCTCGAAAGCACCAAATTGTTGATCACGATGGTAGGTACTTCGTGACGTTGTTACGTTGAAATAATTTAAGATTCTATCAGTTCAGGTTCTGTCTCTCTTATATGTCCAATTATTACCGCTCCAAATTACGCGAAAACAAGATGAAAAACGAGACAGCCAGGAGAATCTGTCTTTAACCAATTACGCGCCTGATCGCAATTAAAATACATAAACGACGTGTCTATCATGTCATATTGGGCTGACGCGGGGTTCACGTAATTTATTTACCGAGCATCCCGCGTGTTTCCCGTGTCCATTATACTCGCTGATGCTGGTGGTAGCGTCGGGAACATCCGGAATGCCATCGAAAAATCGTCGTTTTGAAATGAATTAGGCGCGATAAACTCGAGCGATCCCTATTTATTTAGAATATTCCAATAACGTGATATTCAGTGCACGTGTACCTTTCAGATTTGCGCGATAATTTCGCTGAGCTTTCGTTTGAGCTTCTCATTGTTTAAAAATACATCGCACGTGTCATGATCACAACCGTGACTTTTACTCTTGTTTGTACGTTAATTATTTACTCTTTGAAAATATATTATGTGAATAAACAGCGGCTGGAAATAAAACAAATATGATAGAATTTATATACGGTATTGCATGATTGACTGATGGCTGTTGATTTTATCCGTTTATTAACACTAAGACGGTATTAATGTTTACTTAGTGCTGAATTTGCAGCCAAAATTCGTCGCATTGCAATAACGATAGACATTCCGTCGTGCTTATTATTTCAAATTAATAGAAAAAAAAACAGTTATTTTTCATACCAAAAAATGCGATTGTAATAAGGCAAAAAGTGCATCTGATTTTCTTTCTTCAAGAGAAAATTGAAGAGAAAGAAAAAATTATTTTTTTGAAAAGAATAAAAAAATGTCTAAGCATAAATTCTGGTATATAAAGTTAAATTAATTTTTTATGTATTCCACTACACGTGTAACGCGTTATCGTATTTTTTTCTTGCAATTGATCGGCGATCGATCAATTGGTAATTTAACAAGTTTGGACAACTGTATTTACCGACGTGAACGTTGAGCAATAGATGTTGAGCAGAGGGCGCCTATGACAAAGCGCTATATCCTGTTCTTTTTCTTTATTATGTAATAAATCCGTAATTTTACCATATCCAAGTCGCACTGTAATTTCATAAATTCGCATAATTTTCAGCACATTTAAATCCATATAGTTTTAATATATTTAAAAGTCACTCAACAATAAATTCACCCATAATTATACTCAAAAATCATTTTATTTTACTATGATATTATTTATTTTTATTCTAGAAATTTAGGAGATAAAACTATATAAGCCTGCGATGATATTGTTTATTAATAAATGATTTTCATAGTAGAGAGAGACCCCCATATAACATGGGTTCACATAACACGCACGGAAAAATTTTAATATTTGTTTTAAAAAATATTTTACTATTACATTTTTAATATTTATTTTTTTTTATAATATAAAACATAAAACATCTTATATCTTTCACGAATATGTGTTCCCGTATGCATAATCCATATATAATTTCCATGTATAATTTATGTGACTCGTATATAACACGGATTTATATAACACGGAATGCATTCCTAAGTGTTATACGGGGTTCTATAAATTTGAACTATTGTACTTCTATAATAAGACTCTTCATTGTGTGTTTTTGCGTAAGTTACTTCTTTGTGCACTAATAAAAAATTTTTCTTAGTTCAAGGCAGGAATGATTAATTCGCACAATCATTATAAACTTCCTACAATCACTCGTTAATAACGTTAATAATAGATTTATTAACAGATTTAATAACGCAAAACTATTAAATAAAGGTTGTGAGAATGGCGATTAAAAATAATCTCGTTGCAACGATTATTAAATGTACAATTATAATTTTTTTTTAAATACCTGCATAATTGAGTATAATATATGTATATGCATAAGCAATATGTTGATGAAATAATAAAAAGCTTTACAGACCTCTCAGTAGGAGAATTATATTGAAAGAAGTCGATTTTAAATATACATTTACACATACAAATCGTTATAGCATTCAGTTATGTACTAAATTTAAAAAAAATACCTGGAATCGATTTCGCTTTATTTAATTTCAGAGGATTTTATCTCATTCTATATTATTTTATAGTATTAATTTTGTGGTCAATTTTGCTACGCACATTTAATCGATTCAGATAAATTGATTTTGAAAAGCTTCCTGTTATGTTCTATTTAAACACTCTCGTTATGCATCATGGCGTGTGAATTACTAATAATTACGAGAAACATCTGTATCGTGATCATTATTACCACGTAAAATCAGTCTACCAGACTTCGATCGTCATTTTTTAACCGTGACATGTACGAGGATCGTCATACTTCGCATCATGAGAATAATAATTCTTACGTCAAGCGTTCTACCGTGTGTAAATAATGTCGCTTCTTTATAATTAATTATAAGCGTATGTGAATCATTATATACGGGATACGCTGAAATTACAGCGAATCGGGTAATGGGAAACTAGACTAATTGGATGTCCGTGAAAGATAAATATAAGATAACATCATTTATAATCACTTAATTTTGAGGGACTGATCTTAATGGACACAATTAAATTATTTATTAATATTAATTAGTAATTTAATATTGAAAATATGCTCTAAAATGTCGATATAAATATTAAAGGTCTCTCACTTTAACTCACTTAAAATTGTTTTTAAATCTTGTAACACTTTATCAGAACTGTTTGGAGTTTAATTTATTCACAGACGTGGAAAATGCGTCATCAAATCATACGAATGCGGTTACGCGATGCTCATCTTAATCGCGTGTGGAAACGTTAAAACCTCGATACATAAAACAATACTCGTGTACCTGGCAAAGTGCAAAAGCAATCGATATTATTCATGGTTTCGACAATGTCTTTTAATGATCGCTGTGTTTCCAAATACTTTTACGAATAATACGTTATTAATCAAATACGTTTTTTTATTAAAAGTACTATTCTACACGAATTTAAAACTCGCTTTTTTGTACGATTTCTATAATTTATTTACTAAATAAAAATTTAGTAAAATATATGAATCAGGAATTATTTAATGAAATCAGGAAATTATCATTTTGCATTTTTTTAATTATATTTAACTTCGATAAAAAATTCAAATGCTATAAATTGTAATGAGGAGAACAAAATGGTATTTCCAGTATTAGACACATTTGATTTCTCTTAGTGTGAAATTTAACGTTTTAATGTATCTGTCAATCTGTGTCCCATTTCATAATATGACGCAATAGACACAGGACAGCTGGAAATTCATATTTATTATGAATCATATCTCATCGTTTTTTATTTCTTTTTATTATGAATTATGGTGACTTCGCAAAAGTTTCCCGAATTGATTCAGCAGTCGGACATCTTAAACTCTTAAACCATTTTATCTTCAGCCAAATGTGATCCATGTGTCACGGTGTGCAGGGACCTTTACCGCGAGTCGCGTCAACGAGCGTCGCGTTGAAATCTCCACATTGTCCCACATACGCCCAAGGCAGAAAAACCACAGACTTCGGCTTAGGTCGTTCAGAATCTTTAATCTTTGCACATCTTTGCTCGTAGATACAATGAAACTCTTAAATGCTAGGAAATTTTTACGAACGAATCCACGATTCCGAGTGGAAGTCTTGTCTGACAACGGCGTGTTGTCCGCGGAACACAAACGGGCAAAAAAATCTCGCGTGTGCCGACACTCGAAGATGAGCAGGTCGGCATTAAAGTTTTTTGTGTCTCTCTCTCCCTCTTAATGATTTCTACCTTTAGTCTCTCAAGAATGTTAACACTATTTATCACATCTTACATAAGATAATACAAACATGCACGTAATTACGACGGATAAATCCTGATATGGTCATTGAAATAGTAGCTTGAGAAAAAAGCTGACAGTTCTCCCTAAGATACCTTTTGGTCGTCGCAATCTGCGTGCAGTGACCATTTTATAAACTAGTCGCACTAAGGCCTTATTGCAAACAACGCGATTTTCTTGCGGTCCAGGATGACGCAATCAGTTGGCAGCGAAAGTAACATTCAAACGCGTACGCGTTTGAAACGCGAGGGATAATTTGCGTCAAAAAATTATTAGAAAGAAGGTAAATTACATACTGGACGGTACCGGAAAAAATTTTCTACTTCGACGACAAATACCATAATAAATCGATTTCTGTTAAGCAAGAATTACAAAGAGTCGTAGTCTGTTATTTCTCCTATACGAAATATCGGTCATGTCAATCGCACAAAAATTTAGTTGTAGAAAAATCGACACCAAACTGGTAAACTATGGTACCAGCTGAAAAAAAAGTCAGTTTCTGCCGCTGAAACTGAAGTCGAGAGTTCTAGGACACGCTATATAACAGCTAACGGAGATTCGTATGTGACGCCAAATCACGCTCTTTTCTAATGTAGCCTCTTCTCCCTTAATTGACGTGTAGGGAATAGCAATGACGCGTATATCACTCGTAAAGTGCCTGTTGCGTCGAATGGATAAACGTTCGCTGAAAACGTCGCGACAGGTTCGTAACGTGCGCGTCACGATAAGTTGCAACTTCATCGGTCATTTCATGCAGACAGGCAACGGAAACCGCTTAATCCGATGTTAACAGTTAGATTACACGCTGCACCTTTTTCCAAGGCCGTCACGACCGACGAACCGAATTCTCGAACGCGACTATGGGAACGGGATAAAAGTCGATACGCTTTGAGCAACCGGCGAACATCTATCGCGAGTATAGTACAACTATTTTTTACACAACTATTTCAAATGATTATAAAGTAATATGACGGTAATTCTGACGTATGTATATTTGTGAAATTAAATTCTAGTTGGCTTTTGATACGTGAGACCAAAATTTGATCGAGTTATCGAGTCTCGATAGTAGATTTGTACTTGAATTATAAAAATTAGTATCTCAACTCTATTTTGAAAGAAAGAAAAAAAATACAATCAACATTTTTGAAGATAAAAAACTTCCGCCTCGTTACATCTGTCTTTAATGAAAGAAAACTTAAGGTCAGAACACCCTTTATATATCTATTATATTATATACATGACGGGTGTTGAAAATTGAGCTAGATTTTATTTACTTAGTCGCGTCCATATCAAAATTGTGTTAGAATCACTTTTCAAGCTAATTTAAGCTCTTCTTCGAATAGTCCATTGTTTTTTATATCTAGCTTACATCTATTTAGGTATCCTAGATATAAGTTTTTCGTAAAAAATCTCATTCACATGAGACTCAGTACAAGATCATTGCATTAATCTTTCCCAAGCAACTTGCATCTACATATGTCAATTGAACTATCCGCGAGATATGGATATACATGCAATATAAAAATATCTGATAAAAATGAGATATACATATATATATGCTTAAAAATGATTGCTTGAGAAAAATTAATTATTTACAATAGGATTCAGATTATTCTTCTAACTTTTAAACAAATAAATGATTAAAACAGAACATTACAAAGCAAAATAACATGACACGATTGATCGATAACGATGTATTTGGGTCCGATGCACCTGGGAAAAAGCTAACGATAAATCGATAATGATGTATTTCGTTGTATGTATAGTTTTTAAAAGTTAGAAGTGAGAATAATCCTGAATCACTGTCTACAAAAACAATTGAAGTCCAATTTGAATCTCATTTCCTCTCGCATGTCTAAGGCTACATATCGTTACAATATATGATATACGAAAATATAAACTATGTGGGTCCTAGCGATATTTCTGGTCCTAACGATGTTTGTAGGAATGCGCCGCGAGGTGCGAGTCAGTCCGTGTATAAAATGTAATTTAAACTAAGAAATTCTCGTACTATACATGTACAGCGCGGCGAGGTGCGCGTCCAAAATCTCGCGTTTACGCGGTCACGGACTTCGAGGTGGTATTACCCATCTTCTTTGTGAACTCCATAAGGAAATCCCTGTAGAGGAGCGAGTCCATGTTGGACGAGAGAATATAAAGTATCCACCAGTCGCCGAGGTCAACTTTTCTGCTGACGCTGTGGCAAGTCTCGATGGGCAACAGTCTCGTTGACAGGTGCAGCAGTCTCGGCCGTATCATCGGGGCGAAAATGATCAGCACTCGATATATTATCAGAGCGATTAACATGACGGCCAGTATGAAGAACCAGAACCAGATGAATATGTATGTCTTTTCGTTGACGATGTTCAACGGCAGAATACAGAGCGAGTCGTGCTGCTGTATTGTGCCTGAAGCTCCGTATTTGTGGAATATGCACTTGGTGACGCGAGGAAACACGTAGACCATGGGGTCAATTCGCTCCTCTTGCGGCGTGTCCGAGAACTGCAGTACTCGCAAACCATAGCTGAGGAATTCGCCGTCGAAGAATCGATTCATCAGATAGAGTTGGCCGACTATGTTGACGAGGCACAGAATCTCGCAGGCGAAGTACCGATACACGTACGTGTTGTGATTCTGAAAGCACAATTCGTCGCTGAATTAAAGCAAATTGGACTCAATGAGGACGAATTGGACTTAACGCGGTCATCTCCCTCTCTCATTATATTGTTCCCTCCCTCGCCTCTCTGGTCGTTCTCCAACATTCTGCCTAAGTGACACCGGGACATCTCGCATAATCTATTAAACGCAACGCAGTGTGACTTAGAATTTACCAAATATTTTACATCGCAAAAAAATTATGATTGCATCCAACGGGATTCAGATTAGAACTTATTAAGTATTTTACATTGGAAGAAATTATGATTGTATTTAAGAAGGATTCAGATTAAAATTTACTAGTTGTTTTATCAAATCTAATGTGAAAATCATCTTTATCTTCGAATAATAGATCATCTTAAACACTGCTTCTTTTAATAATTTTTTTCAGCGAGTTCCATGGTTATCTATAAGTCAATCTAATCTCCCAGTATATTTTGAAAACATTGCGAGAATATTATGGATTATGGCTAACGATAACAATGACACGTGCGACGTTGTTGAAACCCAGTAAGTAGATATCAGTGACCACCAAGGGCGGCAAGATACCAGCTAAATAATGGATCGGTTTCTACCTTCTCACTTTTCATATATTACTATTTTTCATCTGCCAAGTCAACACTTGTCTAATCGAAACTTTTGGAGCCAAATTTGTTCGCGTTCTTACCCTGATGTGCATCATCAAGTAATCCATGAGTGCGCCTTTCTTCTTTTTTAAGTTTTCTTCGCTGTCCATGCCATAATTCATTCCCATGACCAGCGCTTGCATCAGGCCGCCTTCCCAGAAGCCCCATAGCCATTGCGGGATGTAGCACAGAACCGCCTGTTAACAAAAAGATAACTGAGTAAATAGATCAACATTACATTAATGTTATTATAAGCTAAAGAATAGACTGACAATGAGTCAGTTTTGTGATGTCAATTGTGTTACACGAAACTTATCGAGACATGGGAAAGTGGACTCACAAAAGTTGACTATTATCTTTTTTCACAATTTTTTCTTGTACATACATTGAACGCTCTCAAAAATAGAATTCTCTCTATTACTCTCTAATTCTCTAACGCACAACGCATTCGAAAATTAATTGAAGATCAACGTGCAATTTTTTTCAACCTTTTTGCCTCACAATTGTAACTATACAAATCTTTGCGGATGGGTATCAAAGCGACCATTTATGATCTCCTACGCACGAGTCCGCACGTGGGCCGCAGTCGGCCACCAGACATAAAGGACAAGCGTGGATCAGCGGAAAGACACAAAGCGGACGAGCATAAAGAAGGGACAACACCGAGGAGAGACCTTCAAGGGTCCTCCCTTCTTACGTTACGTGGCGCGCGTTCGCCGTGCGGCAAGAGGCAAGATCGCCGATAAAGAGGAGGGAGGCGGGCGAGGGGGTTGCTCTCTCTCTCTCTCTCTCTCTGCTTACCTGGAAGAACAGCACGAAGCAGACCCACTGATAATACGTGTAGTATTTCCTCGCGTCGACATCCCCGAAGTCGTTGGCCACTCCTGGATGGGCGACCTCCACGCCGACCTGCGGAAACACGAGACTGCAGTGGTGCGGCGATAACGATGACATACCGCGCTATACGTATCCCGACGCGATAAAGCCATTTGACCCTAGCTCCTTAGATGTCGATAACGAGAAACCTCCTCTCCCCCCGGGTCTGCATTGTTTTATTAGAAGTTGACGCTGGCACTTCTTCGCCATCGACAATACGAGTCTTTCTTTGCGCAACAATGCACAACTGAACGTGCGTTTTCTTAAATGAATAGCCCCTCGTGATCAGCGGACTCTAATCAGGAAGGTCAAGCGCGCTATTACGCGCTCGCTTACGAAGGGCACAACAATATTAGAGACAATTAACAGTGTGACAATTAAATTATGTTTATGCTTTCAAATTATTTCACTCATTTAATTTCCCTAATTAGGATATCGCAGGAACCCGGGCGATATTTTAACGGAGTCGTTGATAATCGTTGATACCATATGGTACTTCATCGCGGTACACAACTCATTGCACTGATATGCACGTAAGCAATCTTTTATCTTAAAAATACCGCCGGTTCAGGGCTAATCAAGGGAGGGGATACATAAATTTGTCAAAGATTGCATTTATATCGTAGTGCAGCGGATATAAAAGCGGATATAAAAAAAGCTTTAAAAAGATATTAAAAAAACTTCTCGCAAAGGTGATCGAGTCATGGTAATTTTTATCCGTTTTTTTTTTTCATCCCGTAAAGACGATTTATCAATTCACACGTCTATAAATGATGCTGGCGGCCAAATTTTAAAGTATAATTTGCGAACGCGTTGTATAAATTAAAATCAAGTATAAGGAATTATGTTTATATAAATTCTCTTTTAGTTTTATACGATTCTCTATATTCGCATGCATAAATTTTAGCAACAATGTAACATATGGAGGCTATTTCTCTCGGCTCGATTTCCTTGCGCTATTATCATTACATGGCAAGTACGTGCGAAATTCAATTGTCCCACGTATTTCGATTAAGATCGTGGTTGACTGCCTACAATTTCCAACATTTCGTCCCAATTTATCTTGGATTAATTATCCCCGCCTCATTTAACCGTGTAAAATGGCATTCCCTCTGCTTATCCTCTTACATCTGCACATTTAAACATTTCGAGCGAAAATGTTGAGCTTGTCAACCTTCATTTCTGCCAATAAATTCGCGCGGCAGATTCTTGTAATGTAATCCGCAACGATTTTGTGCTTCGATCGCAGAATTCGAATAGATTACAGATACTGAACTATCGATAATAATAAATTTGCGATTATTTATCGTATTGCGAGTGCCGCCCTTACAAAATTCACGCGTAAAGATATGTGTGCGAAACCCCATATCAGGTTTATCACATATGGAAATCAAATGCTGATTGTGTATCCGCTACCGACTTATTGGATCGAAGCTGTAAACGTGACAAATTTCTTAACCGCAAAGCGATATCGAAAGCGATATTATATACAGTATGATGCAACGAGATGAGGAGATCGCGATATATCTGGATCGTAATCTAGAATAGCCAAATAAACTGTTGTACGAGTGTAAGGCGATTTCAAATGTATAGCTATGGCTTTCTATTGTAAAAAAGAAACTATAAAGATTAGCTATGCTCGCGTCCGCAGCTTTGATTGGCTCAATAAGTCGCGGGTCAGCGGTAATACAATCTGTATTTGATTTCCATGTGTGATAACTTGGCGATATATAATTTCGCATATATAGCTTTTATTCGACGCGCGAACGTCGATGGATATCAAGTAGAGACGATATTCACAGAAGCTAGCTGCCTATTAAACAACGAGCAAATTCCAAGTATTTTAAAATAGAAAAAAAATTTACAAAATAAGTCGCCTCTATGAAATGACGGGAATTCTTGTAAGAAGAGAATGAATACCAAGAACTTTTGCACTTTCTAAGTAATTTAAAATTTAATCAGCGTGGTGATGTAACAAACAATTGCCTCGTTAATCACTCTTTTTGCCGTGAAACATCTTGCACAGGTATTCACAGAGTGAATTAATCTTACTTGTTTAAACATTATACGATCAACAAACGGCAGCAGCCGTGGAAACTTTTTCGTAACTTTAAAGACAATTTATCCATCAATAGGGAAATAGTGTGCAACGATTGTCGATTGACCAAGTTCACACAATCTCAAGTATGATACGCAACGTGCTATTGTAGTACGATAGACAACATTAGCAACTGCACTGCGCTAATTAGTTTTGTTAATAAAATACCCACGGTAAAAAAATGGACAAATTTATTAGCAAATTGCCAGTAAATTCGAGCAGTAGACATCAAGGCCCGCATCGCTCGATTTTCGCGGTTAATCTACCGTCATCTTTCATCGTCAAACTTCATTTCCGCCGACAGCGCGCGGCAAATTCTTATATGATTTATAACGATTTTCCCGCCCGCAAAACTTGTGTGCAAACACTGAGAAATCTATTCCCCACAAACTTGGCTCGCGTTTGAATACCCAACATAATATAAAGCAAATCGAGAATTTAAAAATATCTTGAGAGTAAAAAATCTCAGGGCAAACCGACTTTGTAGAAGTATCTTATTCGCGATTTCGTGCTTCGTTAACAAATTTCATACATAGCGATCTTCTTCGATGTTGTTCACCTTGACACGTAGACTTTTCCAATGCTATATATATCGCGATATAATTTACGACGTTTTTATTGCAATTAACATGTCGTTCTCGATTAGTTAATGATCCGTATCGGTTAATGAGTATCAATGGAGAGCGGGGATTACGCTCGTCGAGGTCGAGGATGAGAATAAGGTACGTTACAATCGGAAATCTCACACACACCTGTCGATTGAACGCGTCCGGCATGGTGAACGTGGACGTTATCCAGCAGTAAGTATTGATGACGTTGACGGGCAGGCCCTGGACGATGCAGGAGATCGGGTTACCGACATATTGGGTGGCCGTGATCAGCAGCGAGCACGTGAACAGCAGCACCGTGGTGAAGTGGTTGTGCATACGAAACAGCATCGAGTCCGTGACGATCTCCTGCCGCTTCAGGTACTTGCTGAGTCCTCCCAGTAGCTTGTACATGATCGCGTCTGGGTGTCGCTATCGAGCAACCGCGAGGACGACGTCCTCCACGAAGGAGGACACAAGCAACGACCAGGACGCTTTTGAAAGACGAGGATTCACCGGTGGTCACCTCGACCGCCGCCGCCACCGTCGTCGTCGTCGTCGTCGTCGTTGCCGCGCGCCGGCCACTTCCACCTCCACCTCCACCGACACCAACCAACACCACGTGCGATCGTCGCTAGAGCGCGAGGTCACCTCCTCCTCACCGGCGGATTGCGAATTTTAACGGCGGATTCAGGACCACGAGGACGAGGACGTACCATCAACCGGCACTAACGAGCGTAGCTCATCCACCGCGCTCTCGCCGCGCGAACGAAAGCAGCAAAACGAAACGAGAGAGAGACACGAGCGTGCACGGTTGTGTCCACGCGGCGTGCCTCTCTACCTCCCTCCTTTTTTCTCCTCCTTCCGTCTCGCCTTCTCTCCGGGTACCCCGGGCTTCGCTTCGCCTTCTTCTTCTATTGCCCCCTCTCTCCTTGTCTCACCTTCTTCCTCCCTCTCGCTCGCTCCCTCTCTCTCTCCTTTTCTCTCCCTCCTTCCGCGTGCCCTTCTTTCACGGCCTCTCTCTTTCTCTCTCCGTAATCCCTCTATCCCCGCCGGGGGTCCTTCCCTTCCTTCCCTCTTCGACTCTCCGTACCGAGAGATCGGTCACCGAACCACACGCTGGACGAGTTCCCGACGAGTCCTCGACGTGTTCCAGTTCCTCCTGCGAGAGAGAGAGAGACAGGAGAGAGATCGCCCGCCCGGCTCACGCGCCCGCGTGAATCATTTAGCGAGCGGGCAATAAAAGCGCCGTTGCGGGTTGCGGGAAGGAAAGGGACGAGGAAGAGCTGCGGACGAGGCGCGGGTCGCGTCTTCGTCCCTCTTCGCGCTACTTCCGTTTCCTCGAGTCCTTCCTCTTATCCCCGACGCTTCCGCTCTCTTTTCAGTCCTGATAACTCCCTATACTATTTTATTTCCTCTTCGTCCAGATAATTTTTTTCAATATTTATCCTTTTCCACAATCTCCTCGGTAATCAGCCGACGAATTCCTTGAACAGTTATCTCCTCAGGCACACGGGTATCCTTCTCTTGAGTAATTATCACAGAATACATTTGTGGAATTCCCGCGCGTTCTGTTAGCATCCGACTGCGACGGACGCGTAAACAAACGCGGCGCCACACGCTACGAGGATCTTCCTAGTAACGATCCCTCCGTCCTTCTTCTTCTCCTTCTTCTTCTTCCTTTAGCTTCTCGATTTCTCAACCGATTACCCTCGATCTCTCCAACGATCCCTCCCATTCGCGACCGCGGGACGTTAAGGCAAAGAGCTAAAGGTCTCGTCGTAGACGTTCCCTTCTCGAGGACGCGAGATTTCCTCCCTCCCCTTTGACCCCCCCCTCCCTCTTTTCCCAGTTTCCCTTCGGTATTCCGAAGGACTCGCAGGACAGCAGAGCTCGCGGTACTCCACGTTCACGGTGAACGCAATGTGGCCGCACACCGCCGTCGCGTATCGAGGAAGCGACACTAACTACCAACTGTCAATCGCGCCAATCCCCCCCTGCTCTCTTTCTCTCTCTTTCTCACACTCTTCCTCTATCCCCCTTCCCGACAAAGTCGTCCCCTCTCCGCACAATCGAGTGAATCGAGCCTTCGTGCACGCACGATGCGAAACAAAATTGTGCAGCGCGGCGCGGCGCTCGCCGCTCTAGGTGCCCCGTCTTCTGCTCCTCCCGCGTGGAGGAAATGCGCCTCTCCTTCCTCTCTCTCCCGGTCTTTTTTTATTCTCCCACAGAAAACTACCGTGAGACAACCGCAACGTAGAGTGCCGGCGTGTTGCGGCATGTGCATGGTACGTTTGTGCGCACGCACGTCGCACGCACGCATAAACGTAACAATATCTTAAGCGGCAACTGACGAGAAGTCGCGGTTGTTTGTTGTGTCGTCTAGCTAGGGGAAGGGGGCGACGGTGAAGGGACGCATGGGAGACGCCAGAAGGCTCAGCGAGGGTACCAAAGGACCGACAGAACGGCGGACGTGTAGTCGTAGTCGTGTACAGGGAATGGCAGGCAGGGGGGCCGGGGGAGATCGGTTCGTTGATGGGGAAGGGTACCCGACGGAGGGGGGCACGATGCGCGTCTCTCAGCTCGGGCGCTATAGTGCGCGCCGTCGACGTTGTATAATGCGTGCTGCGCGCGCTCGTCTACTACCGTTCACCGTTGGCGTTGCTATGATCATCATCCTTTTTACAGGCGGCAGCATTTGGTTCGGGAAACGAGGGGACGACCCCAATGTTGCTGCCGTTGCCGGCGCGGCGCGGCGCGGCGCGCACATGTGGGGTTGCTGGCGTCGTCTCCCTTATACCCTCCTTCCGCCTCGCTTTCGAGACCCCGAAGGGAGATCGACACCCGAGGACCCGAGAGATTTTTTGTGGTCGGAATCGTCTGACTCGCGTGCGCTAGGAGAAACAGGGGGACAGGGGGGAGAGAGGAAGGGACGCCGCGCGTTGGATACTCTTGTGTTGTACGTTTGTCCAGTCATTCTACCTTCCACCACGCTAAAATTTCGTAGTATGATGCAACATTACAGCACGGTAACTTGTAGAACATCGATTACCGAACACGTACGAAACGCTTCGTCGAGGTCGAGAGCATTTTCATCGTAAGCTATATCCGAAGCGTCATTAGAAAGATATGTCATCATCCTCCTTTGTATAAATAATACTTATCTCAATTATGTAATGATAATTATCTTGCAATAATTGAATCTTCCACATCTTGTTGTGTAAGGTTTCGTCAGACTCCAATCTCGGTGGGAATCATTATTGCACTGGTTATATAATTGAACATTTCGTGGAAGTAAATTATTTCAACCGTTCGCGGTTTTCAATCAGCGGCAGCTTTTGTATTTGTCAACGACGCATAAAAACATCGACGAAGATGGTCGAAGATAAGCTGAAGAGACTCGCTAGCTCGCGCCATAAAGAAAAACCTATTAAAAACATATTATCACAGGCATATTCAAGCTGCTGGAGTGTACAAATATGTATCTGACGTCGGAAACGCTAATTCGCAGTTTATCTTACCAAGGAGAATTCCCAACATAACATTTCATAGCTGTGTTCATAGTTGTGTTTTCTGCTTTGTAAAACAAAAGTTCCCAAAAGCCGTGTTAAGAGACATGAATATTAATAATTCTGAACAGAACTTTGTTCGTCCATTATTTAAGAAATTTTATTACGCGAAGTGTAATAAAAGTGTCTCCATTTTATATCATAATAACGCAAAATTGTACGTGAACATTGCCCGTGTGTTCTTAACTGGAGTATCAACTTCCGTCTTACCTTTTAATTAAAATTCTGTGTTATTAGAATTCACGATTCTAATATATAATTTTATCTTGCTTCAAGTCTGCTTCGCGTTTTCGCTAGTACAGTTAACGAACAAGTCCTCCAAATAACGAAATCTTGTTTGCCCTTGTGAGATTCTTCGTATTTCTCGAACTTTTCAGGGAGAAGCAGCTTTCCATCTTATCCTTGAGTTTTTGCCTCTACATCTGTACGCTCCTTGATATTCCAAACTCATTTACAAATGACGGTTCTCATTCTTATCTTTCTTTTTTTCGAACGTTGAAAGAAAATTTAATTAAAAAAAAAAATAATAAGATAAAGGATAGCTTTGAAAGCCACAAAAATTTGTCGAAAATATCTGTTTGTTAAATATATTTAATATATTTTTCTATCTTATACAATAATATATAGATGAATAACCAACTAGCTCAACCACAGAGAAAATATTAAATAAACATTTTTTAGAATTAGCCCTATTCGCTCCAACCAGACCTTTCGTGTCCCCGCGAGTTTCTAATCCTCGCATCATAACTCACGAACGAATTGACGAAATTTAATGTTCCAAAGCGCAAATTAATGCTAAAAGTAGTAGCTTTAATTTGCGCTTTGGAACATTAAATTTCGTCAATTCGTTCGTGAGTTATGATGCGAGGATTAAAAAGACGGAAAAAGGGGTTGGAGTGAATAGGGTTAGTATCCACATAAATAAAAAAATAATATAACTTAATAAATGATAACATTTATAATTTTTAGAATTTTCATAATATTATCATTCTACGCGATTACTTTAACCACAAAAAAGGATGAACCTTTCTCACGCTTTCTTTCAGAATACTAATATTATTGTAAGTGTAATATTATCTCATCCTTTTATGGGGAGTGATTTGTTATATTTTCACAAAAGTACAAAGTAAACTTTTGATCGGGCCTATAATCTCGCACAATCATCGTGACTCGTTGCACATTAGCGTTGCACGCGATGAGTAACGCGTCCGTTTGTATGAAAACTCGCGACTCGCGAGTGTGTGATCCGCGAGCTTCGGCGATGACTCATTCGCGTAAGCGTTATCGGAAGTGTGAGAATTACTACGGATTCGATTCCATTCATGCGAACTCGCGGATGCGTAAGGACGTTTGTATAACAATCCGCGCATCCGCGGAATCTGTTACATCCGCCGTTATACGTTTTTCGTCGTCTCCGCGACGATGCGATGATGCGCTCGGTGGACCAGATGGACGAGAGATGACGCAACGAGACAGCCAGCCCGCGTGCATCTTATGCAACGCCGGGGCATGTTGCATGAACCGTCTGTATCCTCGTTGTGAACTCTGCAACTTTTCGCGCCGTTTTGCCTCGCTGAAAATAATTGTATCTCTGAAATAGGCGAGATACGATTGCGACAGAAAGCGCAATTTACCGTTTACCTTAATTAGCTCGGGTGACTGTTTAAATATTTATCTTTTATCTCGTGTACATATTGTAGTCTCCGTAGTAAAATTTGCTGTCAATTATCTCGATAAAATTCATAATTATCTCGATATTGAATCATTTACAATATGAACGCCACGCACAAAAGGGTTATGCTTTGCGCTATAATATCCTTCGTTTCTCCGCTAATTAAACCGAAAACGGAAGAACCGACAGGTTCAACCGCATCTTTAGTACGTCTTTAAACATCGTTATCTTAATTAACATCCGCCCACGTACGCTGTCAACGAACCGTTTGTGGCATACAGGTTGAAAAATCGCCTCCGCTCTCTTCGGAATTTTTCCGTGTGGATTCAGAAGCCGCTATTGTTGAAACCCGCCGACGCGCACAATGGAACACGTTTGTTTTCCCGTGACTCTTAAACGCCTTTAAAAATTACAGCTCAGCCGATTGATTCTCATCGTGGCCGCCGCCGCTGCTTCGTCAGTTGTCCTCGTTAACTGTTCATATTGACCATTGCATCGCTTCGTGTATGAGTGCGTGTATGCAGCTAGCTATGTGCAATGCGTACCTTGATAATAAGTCACGACGGCGAATGTAATTTGTATTTTTCCATCGCGATGCGCGTTAAGGACATGATGCATTTCATTTTAAATCGACGAATTATATACGCGTGCAAACGTACAGGTGTTGCCTTATCCAAATTTTCGCGATGCTGTAGTGTCATTGATTTGCTCTGAAAGATCAATATGTTAAACAACAATTAATTTCTAGCATAAATTTCTTCGGTTTTTATTACAGAGATTATTTGGCGCTATTTCGAAGAAGCAAGGCGCACAATTTCGCGGTTAAAATTTTATTAATTCTCTATATGCGTGAATATTATATCTAACAACCTGTATACGAGTGAACGGACAGGATCGATCGCCGATATCTTGCAATAAATGGAAATAATTATACAGCGCGACCGCTTTTTATCACGGATCGCCAAGTTCCTTAACCTCGGCGGACCTTTCACTTGTGTCCCTTATTATTTTTTTTTCTTTGCTTTCGGTACGTTGTCCGGCGAAGCACTTCGATCGCGACCGTAATTCGTCCCGCACACGTGGAACCACGCATTCCGATCTCTCGAACGCTATACAACGCTACCAAAGGCTGTGCAGACCGGTTTGCGGGAGGACTACGAAATTGAGAACCGTCGTCGTGACTCAATCGTGTCGCCTGTGACGAATTCATGCAGCGACAGTTTCCCTCCGTCCCGTCGTTTGCCCGTCCAATGTTTCAAAAGCGTATTTTGATCTAAGGCTGAAAGGATCGGCTATTAAGTATACTACCGTCTTCAAACCTGAGTTTCTTGTAATCTGTATACTCATTTACGAGCCAGAACGGGTCAACTAATTTATGGCGCAAAAATATTTTTATACTTTTCGAAAGTTTCGATGTTACACAAAAATATGTAATACTTGGCATAATTAGTTTATATAATATTTAATTGCAATATTTACGTAGCTTTAAATCTGTATTTCGTTATATTTTTCTTTGGATGACAGAATCAAATTTCGTAAAACAAAGTGTTTTATACTTCTCAACATCTGGAAAAAAAAGCACACGTATACGAAGTAAAACATACAATGCCAAACCACACATCTGGCGTTCTAGATAGATTAAGAGCAACCTGTTGCTCGCGTATGAGGACGTTTAATGTTCGTCGTGTCACACGTGTGCAACATATACGCTGAGAAAAGACCAGATGTACGTCACCGCGAAAGATTGCGTATTGCTCTGATCTTGAAGTTTCCTATCTTCGAACATATCTCACAGCTCTTGTTAACCCTCCGGCTGTAAACGCATACGCATCAACGTTTATGGATCATGACGACTTATTCACAAGGCGACTAAGACGGATTTCTCAAAGAGTGCATCTATATTAACGTATATCGGGTATATATCTCTCCGAGCGCGCATTTGCGAGATAAACGAAAACATCCTCTACGACTTACGACGCGCTGGAATGCGCAACATACGCGTCGTTCCGCGCGACCACGACGCGCAACTCGTTATACCGACATCCGTCTTGAACCGTAGATTTTATCGTCTTTTACGTGAAGACGATTCGCGCTGCCCTCGGCATGCAAATATCGCGTGCGCCCTTGCGACGTATCGCGCGGACGCATCTGAATTTTCTCACGAAGATCCGGTGGATGTATAGTATAATCCCCGAACGAAAAATGAGCCGCGTTCTGCATTGCATCCACGCATTCGATACTCGACTCTCGCACGCCATCCGCATATATTGACTGCGGCTATAGTACACGCAGACGTAACGCCATCGGAAGGCCACCCCTGTTAAGGAGTTTCGTCAAAACTGATCGAACTGCGGTTTAAAACTGATTCGGGCCAAGTAGATTTTCGTTCTTCATATCAATATCGATCTTCTAATATTTTCATCGTTTAAACGCTTTTGAATCGCAAGATAATTCTACGGTACCTGCAGAAACAATTAAGGCATATATGTAGTATGTTTTATTAACGTTATCGCTAAATATGAAATGTAATATTTCTTTTTGTTATCAAAACCGAAGTTATAGAGTAGAGAAACATAAGAAACGAATATAAAATAATAATTGAGGACTCTCGAAATTGGAAATTCGTAATAGAATGGCTATGAGAGCAAACGCAGTTGTCTGTGCGTAGATGATCAGTGATCTCCAAGCAGGAAACTTACCACTTTGGAATGGAGAACTGTGCAATATTTTAATTTTATTCGTCGTTTGATATCGCTGAAGATGGCTCGATCAATGAGCTGAAACGTTCGATTGTATTTCATTTGGAATAAATCAGTGATTCTGATCATCTACGCACAGACGACTGCGTTTGACTCTCATAGCCATCCTATTACGAATAAGAAACGAATTTTCGAGAAAAATATTTGAGAATAATTCTTTATATAATTAGAATTCTTCTCACACAGAGATAACTCTATGAATATTCTATAAAGAGTTTTTATAGGATGCTTTAAATATATTACTGTTTCTCAAAGAATGCTGGTCGAAAAGTTCATCAAGATGAAGGAAGAATTGGGAATGTGACTAGAGAATTTAAAACCGATAAGGAAATGTCAATCCAGGCCTAACCCAGATCATCCGGTCGCACCAGGGCCTAATGCAACCGAACCATTTATCTCGAAAATGCACAGATGCTTTCCAGATTTTTTTAACCGTCATGCGTGTCTTCCTTTTCGGCGACTTTCTTCCTTCCCAAGAAAAATAAAGGTTTTGTTTTAGAGAGCGTTTCGAATTCACGAATTCAAGCTCAGGTTACCGCACATGAGCAACATACGTGTTTCAAGTTAAAACAAATGCGACGTCATAAAATTTGCATTTATATTATATAGAAAGTAGTCGGCAATAACTGTCGGAGCGGAGAAGCTGTTTGTCTCTCGGAACTGTTCACGGCATTGAAATCGTATAATTAAAACTTAAATTAACTGGAAGAAAAAGTGAGACATTTTTTATATATATATATATATATTTCTATAAAAACGTGAAATTATTTTTTATTGGAATATTCAATTTGAAATAGTTATATGTAATTTTAAAAAGTTATATCTTCTACAAGTTTTGAATTATAATTTTAAACAAGGTTATTTCACTTTTAACAGCTCCTCACACAAATGCGTTCATAGGGGAGAACCTCTGAAAATTATTATCTTCAACACCCGGAAATCCAACATCCGCTAATATTAATTCTTGGGCTAATTGAACTTTAACTGGCCGAAACGTTATCTGAGTCTATCTTCCTATTTCCTCTACAAAAGTTGGATACAATAATATAAAGTAAAAGTGAAGAAAAATGTCATTAAAATCATTGATGATCAAACAATATCGATTTCAAACTATCCCCATGTTATTTGTAATCATCTCGTAATCGGAAGGGCTCGTACGGGCTTTAGATATATGTTCCGTTCACCTAGACGCGAGATAAGCCTAGTTATAGAGGTACCCGTTGCTTCTGAAACACCCGCTACGGATATCGTGTCGATCGATCGGTTTCGCCGGCTTGATCCGCGGGTTTGACGCGAGAATGGCGCAGAACAAAGGAAATACGCGAGCCTTTTGCCGGTCCGATCGGTCTGAAGTCCAAGCGCGCCGACACGCAGGCACAAGGCTTCCTGGCAACGCGTCTCTCTTTTTCTGCTCTCGTCGCCTCTCATTTCCCGAGAGAACATAATGGACGGAGTTCCGGCCGTGACGATTCCAGCTTGCCGACCCGGACTCTCGGGTTTCTCAGTATGCATCCGCACAAAGACAAAAGCCCGCTGTAACGAGAGCTCTAAGCGTCTCGTTGAAGAACTTCTGGATGAAGGATTTCGTGCCTCTCGTGATCCGGCCACGTCACGGTTTTAGCATATTCACATTGTCACATTCAGAATTGTTATAAATACCGTGGATATCAGTTTCTGTAATCTATATGTGTACATCACTATAAATCTTTATTGACAGCATCTGCATTTAAAATATAAAAATCTATATATTATATAAATACTATGTTTTTGCTATAACATACAATATATTGCATTAATATTTAATGCAATTTATGCCAATCGGTTATGTAACATCTAGATGCAATTATTTTAAGAAACCATAATATGGTTTTTACAACAATTTTATAAGGATGAAAGTACGGTCGATTCAGACGAAAATGATTTCTCTCGTGAAGACATGGCGAAGATATATACTCGATGCAAGGTGATAAGTATGAAATAATTACGTGAGACCTTCTGTCGAGTCGATATTTTCGAACGACCGATAAAAGACACGCGGGTAGTAATAACTCTCGCGAGCGGCGGCCCCGGCGAGAGTCGTACCATAAAATCTAAATGTATTGAATGTTCGATACTAGGCCACAGCACAATTCCAATCAGAGGCCTTAACGACTTAACGATCCGAACTATTGTCGGGGGCCCATTTATCGAGTCGGTGCAACGTACGGACGTATTTACACGTATATAACCGCTTGCACGCGCATGTGCTCGACATACGATCGCACGTAACGCACACGCGAATCTTCCGTACGAGGTAGTTAAAAAGACGATCGACTGCGCGCAGTTATGTCATGCGTGGCGCGCGCGCGCACAGCTACAAATGCGACTCCCCGACGACGCACGCGAGACGCATTATTCTACAATCGTAGTAAATCGCGGCTAAAGTATTATACATTTATACATAAAGAGGCAATTTGGCAGTGTTATAATACGCGTGCGAACGCACGCGAGATTGTCCACGTATAGGTGCGACAATATAGTTTCTTGCTGTCTGCTTTGTGTAGTCTGCATTTTTGCACGCGAGATAGCGATCTCAGATTTAATGGCGTAAACTTTACGCGATAATCGTCGATAATCGTGCGATAAAAGTCGCACGATTAATTGGGACAGATTTATTCGATATTTATCTATTAGGACTATCATTGGCTTTCTGCCAACGTTCTCATAGGAATTTTGACATATTTAATAGAATATAAAAATAATATGTATATTATAGAGCTTGAATTTCTATCAAAAATGGACAATATGGATCTTAAAAGACTGATCTATTTATCTCCATCATTGATCTTTCCGATTCTGAAAATCATCTATTTACAGATAATTATTTAGCGGCCCATTTTATGCTCGTGTTCAATTAGGGACTTATGGGAAGTTTAACGTTATCTTCCCATTGCTTCTTCAGCAGTTCTTGCTCCACGTCCAGCGGCAGGATTTTGTAACGCGCGTGACGTTTGTTCTCCAGATCCTCTGCCAAACTCTGAAGGAGTTCCTTGAATACATAATTGTCCAGATTCTTTGCGATGTAATAGAGAAACAGCCAGTCACCGAAGTAATACTCGTGAGTGACCTTGAGCACGTTCCACGGATTGTACTTTCCAGGGCACGCCATGGAGAACACGAGTTTGTTGAATGACGTACTTCTGCAAGTGAAAAACCGCAATGAAAGTCGCTCGCCCGCGGCATCGTAATCGTGGTCTGTCATCATTTTTATATTAAAGAGCTCTTATCGCGGTGCATTAACGTCACTGTTGTTACTCTGTGTATATATTCTTTCTTAGTCATTTTGGTATTTTTAATTTTCTTAGATCTCGCCGACGTATATCTGTCGAGCCTTACACGCACGCGGTATTATGAAATGTTTTATAAAATATAACAACAATAATGTATTTTATAGTATGCATTTTTACGGAATAATATTAGGAACTTTACGTTATAAAATTTATATAGAGAAGATGCTATTAAATAGTATTTCATAAATGAAAAAAGAAATAGATTTTTCCGCGGATGATACATACACGAATATTCTACACTGAGGAAAAGAAAGCAAACCGTAATAAAACCGCGAGATGTAGGTACTATTTTTGCATAGAGATTACTTTTGCAAACAACGTGTATGATGTACGATACTTGTAAAATCGTCAAACGAGAATTCCCAAGAAAGAAACCAATGAGCGAGCACCGCGATGAGAATTTATCAAGCCACAAAACGTGACAGGCTGACGGCGGAAAAATATGTGAAGACCAAATGTAGCAACCTCGAGTGAAGGATCATGGTCAGTAGTCTCCAAACCAATCCCAAACCGGTTATCACTGCCAGCACGATGAACCAGAACCAAAGGACTGTGTAGATCTTCTCGTTAACGATATTCAATGCCATCACACACAGCGCGTCGTGCTTTTGTATGGTACCCGAAGGGCCGTACTTATGAAATTTGCATTTGGTTACCTAAAAAACATGGTTGTACATCCATAAATGCGATTGCATCAGTTAGGTGAAAAATCCTGACGTTTCGCAAAGAGCAAAAGTTTGTGATAAAACTCTAAATGTTAATAAAAATTAATAATCAAAGAAGTTTTAAAGGACGAGAGAAGGAACAGTTAGAGTTTATAAATTTCGATAGTCAATAAAACGTTTGATAAAAATTCTACGCTTTAAAATCGGATTTCAAGCGTTTATGGGGTTGCATTATAAAAGATCAATGATTATAATAAAATTTGTGCATTACAATAATTCAAATAATCTGATATTAATAACTTGAACATTTATATAGCATTGATTGTCACTATAAATACCATAGCTATCAATATTACCCCGAAATATTATATAATTTATATTATATCAATTTTTAGACACAATATCTGCTTTAATAATAATATTGTGTCGAATATAAAAGTGGCAACATATTGAAATTATACCTTTGGGAATACTATATCGAGTGGGTCAACTTTATCCTTAGACGCCGGCTCGGAGACCGACCGGCCGAGATCCAGGAAAGCTCCTCCGAGGAACCAGTTGGTCAAGTAAATTTGCACGATCACGGTTACGAAATTCAGGAACTCGCAAAACATCAGACTGTATGCCCACGGGCGATTCAAATGCAAGCGATTTATAAAGCCGGTGCGAATCTGTTGTATTTTCTCGTCGCGATCTTTTTTCGACGGTACCTTCATATTATCGTTTATCTTGAGCTCCGTTTCATTTAACGACAAAGATGTCATGTGCAATCCTGATACCAGCATGCTTAAACGACCGCCTGGAATTAAACAATTGCAAGAATTACGACGGTCTTTGTGTAGTTGCCGCGATGGTGCTCGTAACAATCGCTCGAAACTGCGTTCCGCGATATTCCGATTCGCAAATGTAAAATTGTCAGCAAACAGTACATTGGAGTATTCAAGAATGTCGAAGAATATTCAAATGTTCTGCGCCATTAATATTTTTTTCGAAGAATATCTGTCGACCGCTTCCGTTGTATGGATTACCATTCCCCGGCATTACAAAGCATTTATACAAAGTAATTTTTCCAATAGCGTAATGTTACGCTGTAAGTGGGACACTGTATACTGTACGCTGTATGCAGGTGTTATGTGATTAGATCATGACGGCGAGAAAAGATTAATGATGATTAGCTCGCCGCTTGAGATAAACGCGCGCGGTCGTAAACGTCGCGCGATACGTCAACGGATACGCGAGGCACGAGCTGGTAACGACCTTCCGTTTTCCGCCATAGGTAGTGCGGCAAGTAAAAGAGAAGCGCCTGGAAGAACAGGACAAAGGGCACCCATTGGTAATAAGCGTGGTGTATGACGGGGTCGTCTTTGGCATTTGGTCCAACGCCCGGATGCGGCAATTCGCCCTGCAGTACCGCGGTAGCATTCAGATGCTTCACCTGAAGAGTAAATCAGTTGATAATAAGGAGCGTCTGCGGGAAACAATTGTACTCCGGCTTTGAACTCTCACAGATGGGAGAAGAGAAAAGATTCTTTACAACACCAATAATTCCTAGGTGTGACAACTTTATTTGGACTATTAATTTCCTTTTAGTTGTAACATAACAAACGCATACACGCGCAATATATCAACTTAGTTTAGTAATAATGAAAAAAATCACTGAAAATGATATAGAATCAATCGCGTCGTTTATTTTCGTCAAAATTTTAGACTTACCACGGTGTATGTGGACATGAAAAAGCAAAAGGTGTCGATGACGTGAGACGGTACTCCATCGTCGGCGATACACCTATTCAAAATAAGAAGAATCTATCTTAGAGAGCGATATTATATTGCTTAAATCTAATATAATTGTAAACAATTTAATACAATGAAAAAATTATACAGTTTACCGCATGTATACCTGATATGTTCCCCGATAAATTGTCTGGAGGTGACCAGAATGGACGAAACGAGAAGCAACAAAAACGTAGCTCTATAATGTAATCTGAAAACTAAGCACACACAATCGTATATATATAACCTTTTCTTTTTATCCAATACCACATGTCTTCTTTCCTACTTATCATAATACCGCATATTAAGTACATGTTACGTAAAAGCGATAACTAATCGATAATTAAATTTATGCGATTAGTGAACTGCGCGATAAGTAAAATTCTTCTTCCAATCGTACATCATTGTCATCATTAACTTCACTTGTGTTAAATACGAGAGATAATTAATTATAACATAGAAAACACATGGTTGTTAGAATCGAGATATCTGTTACCGATATTGTCAATGGCTACTCGGTTCTGATTGACTTTGAATTTGACGTGATCCTTGAGGACCGAGAAGGCAGCGAATACGGTGCCGGGCGCCATCACGGCTGATTTTCCACGACTCTTCCGGGAACAAGGTCAACGTTGTTTACGTTTGTTCGAGCACAATTAACTTGCGAAATTACGAACTCGCGTTTACGTCGCGCAGCTGATACAAGCATGAACTATCGCGTAAGGTGAACTTCGTGGCTGCCGAAATATTCGAAACTCCGTATTCAGATCGCGAAGCACGACGCTCTATAATCCATATAGAGTACCGATCGAGAACGTACTGAAAACTCGAAAGCATCAATCTCGTAAGCGTTATCAGAAACGACGATTACGCAGCACGTCTCTAGACGTTCCACAAAACTTGGTATTATCGAGAGAGAGGCAGTCTTATTATTGTTAAAACGTTCCATTCGCTCAGATAAGAGCAGATAGCGCGGAGCTGGCGCGAGAAGGCACGGTCATAACTGCGAGTCGAAGAAATAATGAGTCTGTAATACCGATTTACGACATTGACGACAATCTTCTTGCGAACAGTGTGGATGAAACGTCGACCTATGACCCAATTGTTTGTAATTTATCAACGCGAACCCTTGAGCAATAGCTGCGAATTGAACAATGAATTTCAATAGGAAAAATGTTCCCGAAGAACAAATATCTTTTTTAAAGCGACAACTCTTTTCGCAAAATTGAAAGATGATTGCGGTGAAGATGGTTGCTCAGAAGGGGAAATAATAAATAAGCGAAACACGAAATTTTTTTATTAAATTATATTTATTTATTTCAAAAAGGTAATTAAGAAACATTCTTTATCAAATCTTTATTTATTAAATCTATTAAAACATTATTAAATATTTATGAGAAATATTATTTGTGATATGCCAGGAATTGGCATCTCATAAATATTTAAAATTTATGCGTTTTAGTGATTTCATCACTGGAAAGGCAAATCTTAAATTCTGTAATATATAGCGCCAAAAAATAATTTGAAAAAAATGCGATTTTTTACGTAAAAAAAAAAAGATTCATAGACTGACTCATAGAATCTCATTTGTAAAAAGATAATTAAAATTTTATGTGCAAACATACGTCATGAGATATATCATTCCATATATCTCTGCCGAGCGAATATTTTATAAATTATTTTCACGAAAAAAAATTAGATTTATTATCTTTCGGAAACAACGCGTGAAAATATAATTGAATTATTATGAATGACTCCTTCTTGCATAAACTATTTTGTCCATCAATATAATGAAAAGAACACTTTATATATAATAGTTGTTCTAAAAGGCTTCATAAAAACATGCTAGACACAAAATATAGCGCCGTTAATATTCATTCGGCCTATAATGAGTTCTCGCAAGACAGCGAATCGCCCACAAATTACAGGTAAGTGCCGACAGGAACGGATCGTCGCGTTTTAAAATATGAAGCCGACGATTTCTTGAAATCGTGAAAGAAAGCACGCGTCAGCGTATGTCTAGTTTCACATGCGATAGAAAATTTAAAAAATTGATAAATATTTTCGAGCAAATTTATCCCGGGAGATTTTTCGTCGGTCGAATCATCGATTAAAACAGTAACGAATCATATAGAAATATAAAAATACAATTAAAATATTCTCATGTTTATTAATTGTATCGCATCTTTTTTGTATAATTTTTCTTTATTAAGAGTTGTCAAGAGTTAGCAGCGGGTCGCCAAACATTTTCGCTGTGGCATATAGAAGATATATCTATATCATAGCGACTTATCGCTAAACGAGTCGCTAAACAAACTCGTTAAGCGCTTTCTTCGATGCTTTCAATTTACGATAATTTGTACGGACGTGTTAACTGTCGTGACGCATCTTGACTCTTTACACAGAAAAGAATAGCATTTCCCCCGCGCCATATGGCGGTAGTGCTTTCTGTAGCTTCATCGCCGCAGAAAGATCAGTTATTTCAAGTCTGTATTAGGTCTGCATTTTTCTTGCGGCGTTAGAAGAGTTGCGCAATTGCGCGTTCTAAGCCCAAGTCTGTCTGGTTTTCCCGTGCAGGATCCGCCCCTGGGATGAATTCGGAATCATTGCCGCGTATACGGGCAAGCGAGCCATGTTGGTCGAGCCGAACGATGGAGACCAACTGTGGCGCTTGCTTGCCCGTAGCCGTACACGCGCGCGGCACCACAACGTATAGACGGTAGACGTTGAGCGTCGACGTGGACGGGCGAGGACAGGAACCCTTTCTTTCGAGGACTCGTTCGTTCTGCCGGCGGCTCGGCTCGCCGGGGCCGGGGCCAATGGCCGGTCAAAGTCCCACCTTCGACGTTCACCAGCTCTGCCCCCTCGTCCTCCTCGCGCGGCCGCTCTTCGCGCTCTTTGCCGGTGTGTAGCGGTCACCCTTGGCGGTCGTCCTCCCATAGCTTCGCCGTCCCCTATGGCCCCCTCGACGTCCGAACTTCTTGCGCGTCCGACGCTCATGAAGGGGGGCCCGTCAAATCGGAGCGGAGCGGCGCGGCGCGGCTCGCCGCCGCCGACCCATCGCCGAGAATCCCGATTGCCTGACCCCCCGTTCGAGCACGTCGTTCCAGAATAAATCCTACCTCGCTGATCGATCAACGTGTGGATCGAATATCCATGTGAATGATGAAACCGAGGCTGATTCATGATCACGCGCGGGCGCATTATCTACATTCTACGCTTAAATTTGAACCCGTGACGGAAACTTTTCCTCCGAAGAATGATAAGAATAAAACGCGCTTCGGAGTGAGAATAACACTTAAATTCCCGAATCTCTTACGTAATACCTTTTATTTCAGAGTCAACATTCAAGATTCTCGGAAACGAAACTGATGAATCAAGATTTACTCTGCCCGCGCGCGGCACACGACTTCGCGGGAACTTGGTTCTGGGGACAACGACAGAAAATCCAGTCCGGGTTTATGGCGGTAATCCGCATTAGCGATTCCACCGGATTAGCGACCGACACCTCGTACAAGCGCAGAGAAATATGTAACGCGCGTCCCCAACGCGGACACGTACGACTCGAGTTGCCTTTGTATGTACAGCCGCGGTATCGTATCGTAGGTATAGGTATATCGTTTCGTTCCTATGATTCGCTCGGTTTAATAGCTGGATTTGTAATTGGAGCTCGCTCGCACACACGAGCCGAACGACATTCGTGGAGAATTGAAAGAAGCTATCCCAGCAATTTCAGTTTTAATTGATGATGCTACGACACACGCAACGCGCCGCCACTCGTCGATTAACTCGCGAGAACCAATGATTTATTCCCGGAACACGGGATTCATCTTCGTGAATAAATAATTATCTACCGCGAGTTAGTCTATTGATCAATGGTGCATATGCGTAATGCCGTTCCGGGAGTCATAAATTAAAATCAGAATATCCCGTGCGTTGTAAACTCCTTCGTCTTCATTCGCCCCCTTAATTAATACCTCGAACATGCCGAGCGAGCAAGTCGCGAACAAGAGCCGTCGAGCGAACGTACATTTAAGCCGCTTGAGATTAATTTATTAGACTATTTCTGTCCACTGCTTCTCTTTGTCTCTCTCTCTCTGAATCTACATCCTCGTTGTTTACTCGCATCACGTTCCACCGCCACATACGAGGGTATATTAATTCATCGTGCAATGGCGGATTTGCTCGGGGCCTTGTATAACGTCCTCGTGTCATTGCGTGCTTGTAGCTATCCGGTTTTTTTTAATATTTTATAATCGTTAGCTATGCGTGTGCAGCGTGTGACGTAGTTATATACATAAATAAGGCGATAATCCATTTTACTAAATAATAAAACGAGATATTTTTCGTCCCTCCGTGAATGTTGGTCTTGGGACCTTACTGGAGAATTTCTCTTTAAAAATCCCGTCTTTTTAAATCCTACTAGCCAGTTTTCCTTCCGAGAGATTTCCAAGCTCTCCATTAAGGAAACGACAGGTTCTTCTTCTAAGGGAATCCTAAATTCTCCACTAGCGTCGCTAGTCTTACACTCACGTCTCACGTCTCACGTCTCTCGAAAGACGAGCGAATTCAACTCACGTTCCTGGCCGATTCTGAAAATGCTGCTGCTCGTCCAGCCGGTCACGTTACACGTGCGATGTAACGTGACCGCCACCGCTTTATTATTCCGATCTGGTCGTTAACGTCAGATTACTGTCTGCTCGCTATGGCATGCGAGTCGGCGCGACGAATCGTCATAGAGATGAACGTTTCCTTCGGGATAAATACAGCCCGGCACGCGTGGAGTCAGGCTGCGTGTAACGAGCGCGTCATTGTACAACGCTGCTCTTTAATTTATTATATGTCGTTGTGTGAATGCCCTTTCATGAACGCCCACCGAGGTAATGTATGTGACGTCACATCGTGTATAAATTGATACGTAAAGTCGCCGATGGGATGGCATATTAAGATACAATTGTGAATTCTCATCGGACGAAAAATTAAAATTAAAAGATATGTTAAAACTATATGACACAAACGAGATTACATAATACTTAATATTAATATTTTGTATTATCCTTAATACAATATATTATATGCGATCGACCATGTGATGATTTAACATATTATTTTGGGATAATTATATATTAATTTTTTTTTATTACCAACTTTCTGTACATTTTAACATTTTGATTATTAAGTATTTTATTAAATTAAAAATTATATTTTTTTCTTCAAATTTATATTGTCACATTTCATATGAAAGAGATTAGATAATTTTTATCAAGAAAGGTATGGTTCAGATATGGCTAAACAATGCTAAGCGTTTATGATAAAAGCCGTGGTATTTCCTACAATATTGTCATCATTTACAGTACATAAATGGCTTGATCTACTATCTTTGTGCACACATGATATCCTGAAAGCTTGTAAACGAGAATATACAATTTCATTTTCAAGGATATAACATTATATATATATATATATATATATATATATATATATATATATACATATATATATATATATAATATTATTAAAAAATATATATTATATTACAAATATATATTATATTATAAAAGTATATATTACATTAATTATACATGCTACATAATATAATACATTTAATGCTATTTAGTGTATAAATTCAAGGTTGCAATAATTACTATTCAGGCGTAATTAAAATGATAATTACTGCAACTAATTACATAAAAAATCAAGCGCAAGTAGTACTCATTAATGCGCTCTAACATTTCGATCTTGCGCATCAAGATTCGTCGGCAAGGTTTAAACTCCACGGTTCTCCCCTTCGGATAATGACGGCCAATTTCGTTGGCGTGCGGGAAAATTTAGTTCGCTAATGCAGTTCAAGTGCAATAACGTACCTGATGATCGCGGGAGGGAAGTGAATCGCAATTGCTTGGACCTCGAGAACGCGACGCGCGCTGCGGGCCTGCCGTTCATAATCGCGGAGGGCGACACGCACGTGCAGAGGCCCCCCTCGTTAACGGGCCCCACACCTACGCGTTCTCGTGACGCGACGCAGTATAATGAAATCGACGTCTATGTAGGAAAACTAAGGTCACGACACGTTGTTTTTAATATTAGCGGCGGCCAATTGTGCCATGATCCCCGGTGATCTTTACGGCTGTCATTTGCATCTTAATTATTGCATGTTATTGCTACTCCCGTTAATTGCGGGATTTTGTTACCTCGTTTCGTCAGTGCCGAATTTAGAGAAAAAAATATTTACGTGACAACTCATTTGTTAACACAAATGTAATATATGACCGTAAACGAGAAAACAATATATTATGTTACTTTGGAATATGCTTATTTATAATTTCAAGAATTACTTTATTTTACGAATAATGTCTAAAACATTTTGCGCATTACATTTTAAGCATTGTCAAAACAGAAATAAAACAGAATGTCACGGCACCAACAGTTCAAACACGACGCCTGATTAAGAGCCACTTTAGTCTTGAACTTATCTCTTCTTATCTATTTTATAAATGTTAAATATAAATAAAGTGACGGATAAGAAAATACTACAGTTTTTTTCATATTTTTCCAAATTAACAGCGGCTCCATGTTGAATCCTGAGCGATTACAATCGAGGGGTTCAATGTTCAATCATCATTTATCATTAACCAAATAAGACGTGCTTTAATATCGTTTTAATACCTTAATCGCCCGGATAGTGGATTCCTGAAACAAGTTTTCCTTCTACACCCACGCCCTTCTTACTTACCATTGACCTACAAAAGTTGCGCGCTTATTGCGCGACGAACCGTCAGGAAAGAAACGGGGTCACTAAAGAGAGAAAGTGAGAGAAAAAAAGACAAAATTTAAGACAAAAACTTGATCGTTGCTTAATCGTTGGTATTTATTAGTTTAACTTCACAAGAGAAAACATTTTGTATTAAAATATATATATATGTATATATATATAACATTCTCATTCCTTAGGAGGGCAGTGTTTTCTGGCCGCGATTGAACCACGCGCGGTCGAAGAGCGAAGAGACGATAAGTAAAAAAGATACATATAAGAATATAATTTCCTGCTCGACCTGGATGCGGCGACGTGCTCTGTTCTTCGTTCTTCGAGTGTGTGTGTGTGTATGTATGTGTGCCGGCAAGCACGGTGCCCTTTCTTGGACCTTGCTACAAATTACTCTTAATCGCAACGATTCGGCATTTGGCGATCGGTGCAATTTCGGTGCGAGATCCGATCCCGACGCGCGAGAACGATCCACGGCGACGGGCGTAAAGCGCATTTTCCTCCGAGCGGCGCGGCGGCGGTCCCCCGGTCGGGGGAGGGAAACTCGCCGGAATCACACCGATCACGGATAACAAACACCCGTGACGACATTCGTCGTTCGACGCCGACGTGTACGTGATGTGTACAGCTACCGTTTCTTAAGCCCTATCGTCATATCGCAGATAGCATATCTCTCCTACTCCTACCTAATTCTTATAAATATCGTCGATACATCAATGACGGGGGGAAGAGAAAAAAAAATCAATCCTAAATGTATAAAGAAGGCAACATGTGTCTATCGATTATTTTGTGCGCCCTTCTCATCGACACATTCGAACGAATGCTGTACCATTCTCATCTATGTACTTTGTGTATCTCTCCCCTTCCACAAAGATACTACATATTTATTCTACTATAATTGTTTTTCTGGCTTATCACTGTGTTGCAGTAGGCGCGAGAGCTTGGGCGACCACCCTTCTCCCTGTCTTTTTTTTTTCTTCTCCCTTCCGGTTGAACAGAAATCAGACAAAGCAATACATGTGTATATCGGCAGCGCGATATCCTATCTACTCGTCGCGATGCATCTCTACCGCTGGAAGCGCCGTATCCAAAGACGTATACGAAAGGAAGCGAGAGGAGTTCTTATCTACGCTTGGCAGGATGCAGGCACTTTTGGTTAGTTACACGGCGAATGATTCCGTTACAGCTATATCTCGTCTCGAATGCACATGGATATCCTGTCTCTACTCGAGCGTGCGCAACTGCAGTTTCCAGATAAAGCTGCAGTTTTCAGATAAACAACGCTTGCTCGGCTCTGGTTCCGACGTAATTTTCCATGTCTTTAATCAACGGAATGTCGGTGCATTTACGCGGAAATCACATCCCCTTTCTCCTCCTCTAGAATTTCATCTCTATTGGACTTCACAAAGTCTCTCGATTACGGAGATCACGAATTTCGTGAACTTCGAAAATAACTTCCACGGAGGCGAAAAGGGTGTGCGTGTACATTAAAAAAATTGTATTTGTTTTTTCGTTCGAAAACGACCGCAGTCTTTATTGGAATGTCGATTACTTGTATAAGGGAATGCACTTTGTACCTAAACGCTAAACAGGCACTTGTTAGGCGTAACGCACATGGTGAGTGTCGCGGTTAAATTTTTCTAGGAAGTAACATTGAAACGATGAAGACAAATGCCGGCCGAGACAATCATTATTGCCGCGCGAGAAACGGAAATAAAGCGAGGCGGAAGGGAAAAACGCCTACACGAAAAAAAAGAGATGTATATTATGCAAATTCTAGCGTTATCTCCGACTGATGAGTGACAGGTTGAAGCCTCGGAGAAAGTAACGCGATATGATATAACAGGACAACAGCGTTGCGTTCGTCGTTAATAATAATTCTATCTCGCGTATACATCTAAAGGCGATACAAAATCACGACGACGTGGAGTGTTTCGATTACCTGGCAGTCTTACTTTGAGCACATAGATCTTTCGGAAATGTTCTAGATGGCAAAGAAGCGAATAATATAAAATCGCGCCGCGTTTTATCCTCTCTCTATATAACTCCTTTTATCTCTCTAATAAATCCTACAGCGCTACCCATCCGTATGTTCCGTACACGTTTTGTCGCCGAAAATAGGCGTTTTTCTTTTTACGCGTTCGAAACACGAAACTGACGGTTGCATTACAATGTCGCATTACCGTGATATCGGAATGTCTGTATTATATCTACTATTAAATCTACGCTGATATTCGATTCACTAAAAATTTTTCTTCTTTTGAGAACTGTTAATTATAGAATGCACTTGCAAACTTTTGATTTTTCTTTCAAGGAAATCTCGATCCCAAATTATCGTGTACACTGATAAAGAGATATCGGGAATATTGACGTGTCATTTTCAATATACAATTGTGTCGGTACAAGATTAAGATAAGAAAAACACGGGTTGCCGAATAATAAGTTTATAGACCGGTCGTATCAGTTTTCTAGCAAAATAGATCGCGAGGCATTTTAGTGTCGCGCAATTCCCCGAGCACTACATCCTGAACGTTTAAATCCCTAAGCGTTATCTCGGTGCCGTTATCTTGATAAAACTTGGACAATCGTCTCGAGCGTCAAATCAACGGGCTGTTAATTTTTCACGCTCGCATATCTTACGCAGCAGAAAGTGTCGCTGACTACGGGCTACCGGGCAGGTCGTCACGTTTCGAACTCCGTCGAATAACACAAACGCGAGTCGGCTCAGATAGTAATGCGATATTAGGTATTCCACGTGAACACGTCAGTGGGATATTAAAAGTAAGTGACGTTCGCTCGCGGTCTACGTGCAGAATATACGAACGGTAAAAGGTAGCGCTCTCCCTTTTTTTTTCAATATTTATTTATCGTTTACCTCTACGTGTTGAAATATCTGAACTATCACTTGTGAAACGCGTGTGATGTCGATGGACGAGTGAACTAAGAGCAAACTGCATTTCATCGTTCACGTAATATTACGTTATATCGCACATAAATTACTTAGTATAAACAATTTAGGTGTCTTCACTTACGCGCAGTACAGTTTTTTAACGTTACGTCAAAACGTCACCGCGTTGTTACAATAACATTCGCCGATTCATGGTACCCCAGTCTTACATATTACCATTAAAAAAAAATCGCTGGCAGACGTGTACATACTTGTAGCGTTGCGCCTTGGCCCCTCGACGTATCACACTTTTATATCGTAAGTCCGTGTTGTAAAAAGGAATTATGGGGCAAAGAATAATCTGTGTGACGACTTGGTCCATTCAAAAATATACATTAATTTTACGTCGTATAAAAGAACTGATGCGCGCGAGATACTGCGCGTCGATTTTGTAACCTAGTTTATAAATCTAAATTTCTCGGTACTCGCGATACGAAATCGCGGGCACCATTCTTTTTTGTGCGCGGAATGACGAAGAAGACGCGCGTTTAATATCTACGCACTTATGCATAATACATTCACACGCACACACACACGGCACTCCCTCTCTCACTCTCCCATCTCCCTCTTTCTCCCCCTCATTTTCTCTACATGCTCACCATACATGTACAAATCAATTTTTCCTCTCTCTCTTTCTCTCCTATAACATATATATATATATATATATATATAGCGACCTACAATGTACATGCGTGTTCTTACGACACGCTTCTAGGATATAAGAAAGATCAACGTGATCGGTAGCGTAAAGAAACCAAAAGTTAGATTAGGTTCGCGGGGGGCGGCGAGCGCGATTTCCCCTCGCGTGAAAGCGATCGAGGGGGAACTTCGGAGTCGCGGCGCGAGAACCGACAGACTCTCGGCGTACGAACGCGCGGATGCTGAAATCTTTTACCGAACACTCCCCGCGAGGAGATAAATCTCACCGCGAAAGGGCACGTCCGGTTCCTGCTTTACGCGCTCACAGGATCGTCGCCGGCCCGCGATTCACGCGCCGAACTCGAGAGACATGAAAACGCTCGATACAATGGAACGAGGAAAAAAAAAAAGAAAAGAAAGAAAAACGAAGAGAACAGCTAAGGCAGGAATGGCTGCTGAAATAGCACGCGAACGCCGTCCCCCGCTTTATCACACGATCCAAGTCTGCGAACGAAGGGCTTCCGAGAGTGCCTCTGGGAGCACACTCGCCCTTTTGTTTCCATTTTCCTTTAAGCTCTCTTTCACGGTTGTTTCTCTTTCTCTCCTCGTTTTCGTCGAAGGACAGATCCCCCTCGTCCTCGGGGATGATCGCCTCGAAATGGCGAAAAAGCTGCGACAATATGCGGGGCACAGTGAGCACAAGTTGCCGACGCGCGCTCACGCGGAGCGGCGTGACAATGGTAACCCCCCGGCGCGGCGGGCGTGCGGCTCCTTCCCCGCATATTTCCTTCGTTCCCGAGTATATATTCCTACGAGGCAGGCCGTCGTTCCGTTCCATGTACCTTCCTTACGGACGTACACGGCTACACGAGGAGCTCCGTAGGAATGCAAGCGCGAGGAACGGACGCGCGCAGGAGCGCGGCGAGGCGCTTCGCGGAAGGCTAGATTTTTTTTATTCTCCGCGCGCGCGTGGAATGACGTTCGTGATGAGGGGGGCTTTATCCGCGGTTGCGTGTGAGCCCCGCTCGCGAAGTACATGCGTGGATGGGAACGATAACGGTGACGTAGGCCAACAAACTTGCTCCGATCTTCGCGTCACCGGCTCGATTTCGTGTTAATTTGGCGTTAAAAAAAAATATGAAAGAATACGGTCCATCTTAATTTCCTGATCGATTAATTATCGTAATTACACGAATGTAAAACAATCGAGTCGAGCTGCGGTCGTGTGACTGTTGGTCAATTAATTGTTCGTACGTCATGGCAAAAATAATCGGATGACTCGAGCTGCCTCGTAGAATACATGCCTCGTAAAGCAATCTATCGTTTTAACGCTTATCTCGGGGTCGGGAGTTTCATTTCTATATTTATAAAAATAAAGGAGAATAACTCCCATTTTCTTAAATTAACTTAAATCATTTTTACATGAGGCTGATTGAAAGAAATTGTATTCGATTGATACGATATACCAAATTAATTTATCACAAACTGAAAAGATATTTTAATCTATATAAAAAAAAAATAAGCTATTTGTTGTAAGAATCCAAAATCCGACAATTTGTGTTACTCATTACGAAACACAATTCGCTAAAATCCAATATATAAATGACAATAAACAATAGACGGTAAGAGTCCGACGCGTGGAGTCGACGAGTTGTGGAGCCGCGAAGTTCTTGCTCGAGGAAATGTAGGAATGCGCGAGGGTAAAATGAAGGAAGCGGACAAATGTAGAAAACAAGTGGAATGGGCGGCGTATAAAATCGATGGGAAACTCTCCGCAGGTGAAAGGATCCGAAGACGAGGTGAGTTCGACGCGAAGACGAGGAGAGGCGAGGAGACGGGCGGCGAACTGCTGCGCGCTTTGTCTTCGCACCGCAAACCCGACGTCGAATGGAAGCGTGTACTCGCGCGTAAAGAGGTACGGCGAGACATAAAAAAATCTTGTCCTAACTACCCGGGGCCCAATTGCACCGACGCTAATGCTGACTTCAACCTCGATCGACTCGGGGATCCTGCCTGAATTCAGAATTGGAATCGGGAGAGAGCGGAGAAACCGATCTAAATTCCACGTCGATAACAATACTTGTTAATTATACATAATTAGACATAATTAGCTAATTATACTTATTTATCTATTAAATTACCTATAAATTGAAATAAACAAAGGTTTTTTGTTTATCAATCCCGATTCGTCAAGCGGATTAACTTATCTCGATTGACTAAATCTCGCTTCTTTATCGACGTACATCTAGATCGGATTAACATCCGTTCGTGTGAATTGACAATCCATAATTGACTCCGATCGAATTAATTCGGAGCATCCCTGATCGTCCGTCACGGTGACGATTAAATTCAAGGATCAATTTAAAACTAATTCCAATTAATTCGATCTTCCTTCCTTGTCTGTAACATGAATAAAATACAATACATAAAGGCTAATAGTCCTAGAGAGAGATCAGATAGTCGTCGGTGCAATTCAACCTAAAAACGCAAACAATTCTTCCAATCCTCGCTTTGTATCCGCGATATCGGTATGGCTGTCTCCCCCTCACCCCCTCACCCCCTCAATCTCTCCTATTCTCGTCTCTAATCCGGAGACGGTCCTACCGTTCGCTTGTTCCCTATGTCGGGCGGGGCATCACTCCGGGCAGAGAGATGAGGAACCTTCCGGAGGACTCGGGGAGCGTCCCTTGAAGAAAGTCCTTCCCGACCGTACGGCCGTTAAACGCTCTCCTTGCCCTGGAGCTTAGTCGCGAGATCGGCGATGAGCTGCTTGTACACCAGCGGATCGATGTTCTTGCCGAGCTGATAGAGGACGAACCAATCGCCGATCTGGCACTTGTCGTTGATGGTCTTGATCTGCTCGTGCGGCGAGAGACGCGAGCGCGCTCGCAGCAGCACCATCCGCACCTTCGGCCCGAGTACCACCGCCGCGCGATAGAGCAGGCTGAGGCCGCTCAAGATCGACAGGATGATGAACCAGAACCAGAGGAACACGTAGATCTTCTCGTTGACGATGTTCAGCGGGAGCACGCAGAGACCGTCGAATTTCTGTACCGTGCCGGACGCACCATATTTGTGGAACGTGCACTTGGTCACCTTCGGGAACACCTTGGACATGGGGTCGATACGCTCCTCCGGCTCCATCTCCGTGAACCTGATGACGTCGGAGCCGTACGTGGTGAACTCGCCGTCCAGGAAGAAGTCTATGAAGAAGATCTGACCGACCACGTTGACGAAGTTCAGTAATTCGCACAGGAAGAAGCGGTACGCGTAGAAGTTCTGCGAGTGGAGGTTCGAGGCGAAGTAGTCGACCAGCAATTTACGCCGGTCGCTCTTGCAGTCCTCGCTTACCACCGGACAATTGAGGTCGAGCACCAGCATCTTGATCCGGCCACCTTCCCACGTTTTCCACAGGTAGCGCGGCACGTAAAAGAGAATCGCTTGGAAGAAGAGAGTGAAGCAGACCCACTGATAGTACTTATGATACTTGACCTGGTCCTCGCCTTCGACGTGGGCGGCGACCCCGGGCTGCACCAGGTCCTTACCGACGATCCCGGTTCGGTCCGGGATCGTGAAGGTCGAGTAGATCCAGCAGTAGGTGTCCATCACGTGCAGGGGGATCTCGTCGACGATGCAGTCGATCGGGTCGCCGATGTACTGCCGGGAGGTCACCAGCAGGGAGAAGACGACTAGGCCGATCACGGTGGCCTTGTAGTGCAGCCGGAACACATTGTTGTCGATGCACACGGAGTCGAGCTTCAGCAGCCCCTTCACCGAGCCGAACACGTCGAACATGGTGGCGGCTGTGCGTCGTTTTACCCTCTTTCCTACCTTTTCTCACTATACAATCGATTCCTCTCTCTCTCTCTCTCTCTCGTCCTCGCCGTACGCGCGGCTTGCACACGCGTCACCGATGCGTCCGACCGGTCCGGTCACAAACCGAATTCGTTTTGTCCCAGTGTCTGGCCGTGCAGCGCTGCAGCCTCCACCACGTCCACGACGCGACACCCGTCGTGCGCGTTCGAGTCACGCTCGGCAGCTTCCGCGCTTCCTCGTTTCTCACTCGCGTAAACGCCAACCCCTCGGTGGCGGCGGCGGCGGCGGCGACGGCGGAGCGGTGGCCGATCGGCGTTACGTTAATTCGTTCCGTCTCGCGGCGGGGCACACGTGCGCTCACGCTCCTGCTACACGCCCGTACTACGCGGCGTCGCGTTCGGCGGATTCCTACTTTCCTTACGTTCGCGCGTTCGACAACACGCTATCGTCGCGCGCACGCGTTCACTACACTACGTTACCGAGCGTCACCGGAGCGGCTCTGTCGTAATGGCTGCGCTCGAGACGCCGTATACGCGACACAAGCGCACGCGAGGACACGACGCGCGTTCCACGAGCTGCTCCCTTTTCCTTGCCTCTCTTTCTCTCTCTCTAGTCCTCTCCCCCTCTAGCGGCCTCTCCGTCTCGCTCGCGCGCCGCGCGATTCCCTCCTTCTCCACCTTGTGGACGGACTCGCAGGGGCCGGGCCGGTCGGGGACCGAGAACTGTTCGCTTTGCCGCTTGTGCGGCGCGGCAGGGAGCAGGGAGAGTCTCTCCGTCCCCACCCACAACGCTACAACACTGACTTTACTCTCCTACTCACCCTCCTAACCCTGTCCGTTCTCGTCCCTCTCATTCTACGCCGAGCGGCTTCAAGCGGCTTCTCGCTCTATCCCATACTACGATCGGCGCGCGCTCGGCCGCTCTCGGTTTTTCGTCTCGTGGCGCGTTCGGCGAACGTCGGCCGGCCTCGGGCACCGTCGTTCGCCTCGCCGCGCCGCGCGGCGACATGACTCTCGCATGGTTGTTACCATGGCGACTGGCTACCGATGCCGCGGGAGCGTGGGATACTCCGAGAGCACTTTGATCCGTCTGCAATGTCTGCATCCAGTCGCGATCGGCGCGCTAAGTCATTAATTCTATTCTTTTTTCGCGTCTATTAGAGCCATTATTCTCTATATCTTCGAGGTGTATAGAATATTTTTTGCATTTTCATTTATATTGATAGAGTTATTAGGTAGAATTTAAGACAGATTTAAGCGAACTTCTAGTCCGAATTTTAATTTCGATGTAACATATATGGAAATTCAAGCCTGAAACATACCGCATCAATTAATATTGAGCGTTGATAGCAAAAAACTAAATTTTGTTTATTCACGCTGTAGCTGTATTATAAATAAAAACAATATATGTTAGTTTATCAATTTCAATGGTAAATGGCGAATAAAAACGAATGCGTTTCGAATTCGTGTCTTAAACAAGTTGATTCTTAAATATTTTTTTTTATACATTTTATCTTAGAGATTCTTTCACAAAATGGGTTCCTGTTTTACATCTTTCAAATCATACTCGTATGTGAAAACTTTGTTCTATTTTTAAACCTGCTGCAACGAAAGAGACTGAAAAGCAAGCGGGAATATCAAATTTATCGTGCCATATCGTTGAAAAAACCCGCAAATTGTTTTTACGTTCGCCTCTCTGGGTCAGTGACACAGAATTACACGTTCTGGAGTGTGACGTAACCCATGAATGAAAACGGATGAAAAACTGTACTGCTGTAACTTCTTTCTTTTTTTTTACGCGCGCAACATTGCGTGACAAAGCGTGACGCTCGCATGACGCAAGGATAATATCTTTATCCAAACGTGTGTGGCTTGTGCCGCGAAGCTCTCACGCCGTTTTACTCGTGACATTTACTCTGAGAGACTTGCGCGGATCTTATAGCGCGAATTATACGCTACGAGATTATAGTAGTAACAACAGTATTACGTGCTATAGCTATAATATGGTAAAATATAATATGAGCAACGGTCGCATTTCTGAGCTCAGGAATTCGGCCGGGTCTACTCTAAATCCCTTCCCGGACTTGATTTTCTCAGGAGAAAACCTTTAACAAGTGCTTTTTTCTTTTGTCCAGGACCAGAGCGCAGGTCAAAGGGAAACTAAACTTCTGGGAAACTGTTAAGGAGATTTAGGAAACTTCTAAATCTGTACAAGAGTTTTTCTACCCATGGTCTTCGGCAAAAGGAAAAATTTTCGTACTGGAAGACTCAAGTTATAATATTCGCCGTAATATTTAACTGATTATTATGCTGAACTATAGTAATTAACTTAACTTGGTAAGTGATTTGTTTATCTTGGTAATACCACGGTATCAATATACCGAACAAATATCCCGCAAATATTTTACATTATTAATACATTGAAAATTAATTAAATAATTGAAATTACAACTTGACTAAGCGACTAATGAATATTTAAGCGTAATCCACTACATTATTGTAATTATATGCATTATTAATATAAAGATATTAATCATTGTATAATTATATTATACAAATTAGTGCTTTAATTAGTGCGTTAATTCCACTCACATCCTGCGCACCGAATCGTAAATCATTCATGATTATCGTACGCCATCAGGCACGTGATCCAAATATAGACCTAGTGTGATGAAACCTACACCTCTTCGCTGATTAATTATTCTCGCTAAATCTATATTTAACAGATTACCGCTTAGTCTATCGAGGACCGAGTAACGGATAGGGATACCTCGGCGAGACATCGTGTTCGTATATCATCGTTCGCGAGTAACGTCAGCAGGATAACGTTATCTAGCCGAGCAGCCCTATCGTGTTGCGTTGAGAAAGCGTCAGACGTTAAAGTATATAATAGCCAGCTGTTTGAGTCATTTCGCAGAAGAATCGCGTCCGAGTAACGTCATCTCGTTATCTGCCGTCTTCAGGTAGGACCTTATACTCACCTTACCAGGCACGGGTTCGGATGAATCAGCGAGCTGTTTCTCGCGAAAAAGGATCTTTAACTCTGGTAGCACCACGAAGGGGCCATAAAAAACTCAAAGACCAAGGAATTCAAACCGGTTGAGCTTGGTCGATTCAAATTTCGAAGCCACTCGGACAAAATAATCCTTTTATTTACTCGTGACATTATTGGCGAACATATTTTTCGCCTCTGTCGTGTTTCGACGAAAATTGATTGTTTCACGCGAAACGATTTCTTTAATTATATACGATATATATATAAACGATATATATATAACCGATATATACAATATATTTCCTGTCGGGTCCGATGCACTCGGGAAAAAGCTAGTAATAAATTGCAATTTTAGTTTAAAGTAATTTCAACGTTTCATCAATAAAAATCTTATAACTCCCATCTGAGTGGATCTTATCCTCTCTTTACGCGACGTAACTCGCATATAATACAATTGTACATACACTGACTGGCACAATATTGATACCAGATAAGCGATATATCTATCAATCGCAAAAAACGTAGATAAGGTAAATTATATTCTATATCTCGTTCAATCATCTGGTGATCTTACAGCCGTTCTTATTGATATACGTAATCTGATCCGAGAGATAAAAACCATAATATTACGGTTATTGAATTTACAATCGGTATTACACACGTAATATCGCTACGTGTGATCCCGCACGTGCTTGCGAAACTCGGACACGACGTTTAACCCAAGAATAGTTACTTGAGATGATTTTTACACCCCAACAGAAAAAAAAGCTTTTAGTTACAGTAGTTTACTGATTAAGAATATCTACCTATTTTTTAGTTTCTCCTTACTTTTTTTTAAATATGTTGAGTAAATCTATATATATAATAGTGTCAAATATTGATAAATTGTAGAATAATCAATAATATACAATATGTAATTAATAATAGTGACTTCTAAGTGGAGTGTAAGAAACACCCCAGGTGATTGCCGGATCTGACTACGTTCTTGAATTAATATTAATTTAAATATTAGTTTTGGTCAGTCTCTTTTTAAAGAGAAATTTATTATTAATTTCGTTTAGTATTATCGTTTTCAGATTAATATCGTGATATTGTACCGTTTATGATTTGAAAAGAGAAAGAGTTATCTGTTTACCAACATATTTTATTGTAAATTTACAGATACCAGAAAGTAATGATTAGCCATTATTTTTTTAATAATTCAATAAACTGCGTATATATAGATCGTGATGTCTCATTAAAAGAATTTATTTATGATAAAAAAACTAGCTACGTAGCACGACTTTATGGCCATCCTACATATGATTCAATGCACACAAAACTCGATAGAATATGTCAGATAAAGTCAGATTTTATTATAAGTGACATAGTGGTGATTTATTATCTCACGTTTCACAAGAAAGTAATGAATGTAAACAGTTTTATACCTGTCACAGAACCCATACGCTCAAGGACGGTCCTGTGGCGCAACGGATAACGCGTCTGACTACGGATCAGAAGATTCCAGGTTCGAATCCTGGCAGGATCGTGGAAATTCTTTTTCTCATTTTCTTTGCTCAATTCGAATTTTATTCGATTTTATTTTGAAGAAATCGCTCATTATTGTCAGCAGAAATTATTAATTTTTACTGAAACGTAACTGGTTTCAAAAAAAGATCTGAATATTGCATATTATCTGTAAGAGATATTCTCTTTAATAAACTTGGACAATAATTGAATTTCTGAAGAATTCATTATTTTTCCATTTATTTTATTCATTAAAACAAATGTTATGCTTTCTAAAAACGTTTTGAATAATAAGATTATAACAAGATTTTTATTCTATGTTACTTCTATGAAACGATCTTTAATTGAAAACTATGTGGATACATGTTATGTGCTTGGCCAAGTTCGTTTTTAGTTATATTTGTCAAGAGACAAGTATTCTCATATTGATAAGTACATTAGTCATAGATACATTCTCATTATTCAATCAATTGAGATCTAAATACTGAACATGTTAATAAACCATAAAAAAATGAAACAAGCAGAAGATACTTCCTACAATCTTTTATGTTATTTTTTAACGTAAATGATAATTTTATACTAAAGTTCCACGTGTAGAGCGATATGTATTTCTAGATACAATAAAATTGAAGAATGTGTATATCCTATTCTCTCATTAATTGGTTAATTATAAAATTTCTTAGGACATTTAAGAAGCTTCGTATTTCCAGAGAAATGAAAAAACGAATAATTTTAGTGTAACAAACTAGGGTGACATTTCCATATAAATATCCTGCGATATTTTTCATATTAAGGATGTTCCCATCTCAATTTGGATTATATATTTTATAATACACAAATATCTAGCTCTTTAAACGATGTAATTCGTATCTCTTGACAAGAGATCTTTCATTTATCAGCGTAATTGGTGTGATGTTATGATATTATCTTTTATTGTGTATACTTACATAGAAGTCATGCATTATATTCTATTATTTCTATTTACTCACTTGATTTTGTCATACTGTGTCTCTCTGTTAGAAATAGGCCGGGTTAAGGAAGGTCCTATCGCATCTGCTCTCGTATCATATTTAGAGTCATAGTCGCGCATATGTTTCCGTCGTTATCGCGAGCGCAACGCGTGTAAAAGAATATACCTTACTTAACGTTGCGCCCAGCACTAATTGCTGTCGCGCGTACTCGACGGGTCAAATAAATTAACCCGTCGCCGTTGATTTCTTGTTGCATGCGAGGGCCGATGGTAAGGGGCGCGTAAGCCAAGAAGGGCCATCAAGAACGACAGGAATCCGGCGGCTATTTCGACGTGTAACACGCCTTCGTGTCTATGCCTTCTTTGGGTTAATGAAAAGACGCGCTTCTGATCTTTGAACGTCATTTTGTGATTCAAAAATAGACGGAGAGAATGTTACATGTAGATAGACAGTTAATATATTAATATATTTTTGAGTTGAAATTTTGCATGTTTTAAATTATGTATATTTATTTATCAAAATAACTTTAATTGTTTTGTCTTATCGTGAATAATTACGACCATTTTGTCACTTGATTTTTTTGTCACGAGCAATTACTATCATCATTGAATCTAGATGAATTTCTGAAGTTTTTTATCGATCTATGATTTTTGAACAAATATCTTAATTTGTTAAAAAATATTGATTTATGTGATGCTGTAAAGGTATGCGTTTTAACTCTAGATTAACTCTTGATTTAAATTAGAAATAAAAAGCTTTAATAAATGATGGAAAAGAATAGCGTTTTTCTTCTTATTTTCGCGAAAAAATTAGAGTTATGCCGGCGTTTGATGGAAACTAATTTTAATTTTTAAGCTTTATACTTAACGTACGTCATCTCTTTTACAGCTTTATTTCCATTTCCTGTGATTAAATTCCGAGGAGGAAACTGGAGGATCTTCTCCATCCGTGACTTTACAGTGATAATCTAATCAACGTTTATGATACGACAACCATGACCACCAGTCCCTCTCAAAATTCGAGGTCGGTGATCTTCTTGGTATTTCAACATACATGAGAGTTGGTTTGTCTTGAAAAAGAAGCTGCGGTAGCCAAGTGAAGTTGAGTGAAGCCGAATTCTTATTAACTACAATACTACGTTATCCTACGTTTCTATCTGTTATGCTAATATAATAAAGTGCTGATAATAAAGTAACTTTACCAATTTTTTTTCTCCAGACGTGTATATTTTGTAAAGTTATGCAAATATTGTAATTATTTATTTTATTTTTATAAATTTGATTTATGAGAAAAAATTTTTAATAATAAGTGATAAAATTTTTAATATATAAGGCGAATCTCACTCCCGACTTCTCGTTTTTTTTTTTTAATTTTTTTTAATCTATATTGTATCATATTAAATACATTCTGCAGCATTTACAATTTGGCCTTTTAAATACAAGAGATGAGAATTGCTTCTACTCTTAAAATCTTTTTTTTCTCTCGAGACACGTTTTCGTGGAATACGGTACTTTTCTCCATTCGAGACTCCCTTAAATTCGCAAATGGATTGACTTCATATGAGATCGTCAGTTTTCGAAATGGAATTTTGGCAATGCGACACAAACCGTTGCGACGTCGGCCGGCCAGCCGGGCATTTCTATGAATCAGCTCGAGAATTTTTGACTGCGACGGGTTTCTCTTACCTGCGGCCTGCGGGTAGGCGTCGACGCGGCACGATTCTCGATACATCAGCTGGTGCGGGTACCTGTAACTTCTCCCTTTCCCTTCTCTCTCTTTCTCTCAAACGGAGGGCGAGCGACGTGTGTGAGAATCGAACGGAGAGAATGATTAAGAGAGAAAGAAAGGAGAGAAGGCCGGTTTTTCTGGTTTTCCACCTCCGCAACCTCGTGGTCTTCTTCTGTAGTCTTCTCTCGTTACCTTCGCACAATGAGATGCGTATGCATCTTCACGTGACCGTCCGATAAATGAATAATAATAATAATAAGTTATTATTATTGTTACTATTATTAATTATATACATATACACGCGAATAATATTATGTATAACTTTCTAAACGGTTATATATATAGCCGATTAGAAAAAGATAAAAAAATTGTAATAGTTAGCATTCCTATACGCAACAAAGTACATCATTCCGCTATTCATTTATTCTCGCTATTGCGACAGCATAATTGCAAATTTATCATATTTTAAACGTTTGTATGTTTAAAACATATGTTTAAATATGTTTAAAACATATGCTCAAAATATGTTTTAAACTTTATATTGTTTTAAGATTATATTCTCAACATACATTTGTTTTAAGCATATTTTGACGTGTTTTAAAACATATATTTTAGGGAGAGATTTGAAATATAAGTTTTATAGAATAAAGAGAGATATTAATATAATTCTATCTTTAATAATTTTGGCAACAAGAGCCAAGCGTATAGTAGTTCGCGCGCAATATAATTTATTACAATTAACAATTAGGACTTGCGTACGTTTCGACCCTATCTTTGGGTCATCTTCAGCGAACTACTGCGCTTGGCTCTTATTGCCAAAATTATTAAAGATATAATTTTATTCGAGAGAGTCTTTATATTCTTAATATTATTAATATAATTATTTTTATTCGTTATAATATTGCCGTATAGGTATTCGTTATAAGGATAATTTCATTAGTTATTTATTTATTTGGTGTTTCCTAATACATAGAAAAGTAAAGTACACAACGTATATTTTGTTTTCATGATAAGTAAATCGAAGTAGAAAAAATTTACGATAATTTATTACTAATACTGGTCATAAATTGAGTCTGAAGTGACTGTATGTACTATATATATATATATATATATATATATATATATATATATATATATATGTTGTTTTATATTATGTATATTTATGTATATTATGTATATTATGTATTTTATGTATTATGTATATTATGTATATTATGTATTATGTATATTATGTATAATTATGTATATTTTGTATAATTATATATATATTATGTATATATATAATAGGTATGATTTTTAAATATCAAAAGGATAAGCACGAATATCGCAATATTTCAAATATAATAAGTCACTACTAAATCTTGCAACATATAAAAAATACATCTATCTACTGTAAAGTAATATTCTCTTATACATTTATGTATACATATATATATTACGTACATTCATTTTCCAGAAAAAAAAAGTTGCAGAAATAAAAAAAATACTATGAAACGCGAAATTACGCACAATCTGTAGTATTAGCAGAAATCTGTCATTCGCCAGTATAAACTATCCATATTTTTACGATTTACGTTCGTTGCATAGTATAGTTCTATACATGAACCAACATGGCGTGCAATTATAGTAATAATATTATTGAATAATAAACTAAAAATAAAATTGATTGGAAGCACTTCTTTTGATATTTGACGTTCAATTTTGCTCTGTGACATTTCAACTAACACATTTATTGTATTGGCGATATAATTAATTTTAATATATATATATGTGTGTGTGTGTGTGTGTGTGTGTGTGTGTGTGTATTTTTAAATATATATATTTGAAATATTAGAAAAATATTTGTTTTGTGTTATTATTGACAATCTTAACTATCTATCCTTTAGTATGAAAATCCTTAAAGTTAATGCCAGATTATGCACGATTTGCGATTTATAATTGATTATCACGAATTGATTGATTTGTTTGATGATCTCGTAAGAAAATTATCCGTTGTCAAATCGACATGAATGGTAAACGTAATATGCACTTGATAAATCCTCTCACCCACATTACTCACTAGTTTTATACGATTGGCGAATAGCAAATTATACGTCAAAATGGTCTCAGCATGGTCTAAAGTCTTAAGTCGCAAGAAATACTTTTGTGTTTCATACTTTCATGTATGTATCACGTGAGAAAAATGAAGAGGTGCATGAGACGCATCTTGGAATATATTATATACATATATGTATATACGTACATAATTTGTCGCATAATTTGTCGGGGAGATCGGGATTGAAGAAAATTTAATTTAAAGTGATTTGTGTTTTAGCTTCATATGATTTTTAAGGTACTTCATCATACCGAAAGCTAGGATACGCTTTTCGCCGAATACCCTCAATAATTCGTCGTCACAAAACGCATACCGTTTATCCTTAGGGTCCTGTAAAAACAGTCATTTTCTGGCAACATAATCTTTGTCACGTATATATATATATACGTATATATATATATATATATATATATATATATATATCATAAAAGAGAAAATATCGATGTATAGAAAATAAGTATGAAAATATTAGATAAATGATTACAAATAATACTCACAAAAAGATTCCTTTTTTTTAGGATGCTCCATATTTCTTTTACGACTTCATAGCAACGCATTTGTTTTACTCCAACAACCGCGGCAAGTTCTGGAGTTAATGTAAAGTACCCCTTGTCTTTGTCACTGTCTCCCTTCTTTGCTGTGCTTCCTGGAGTTTTTTTGTTTTTACCCCTTCCCTTCTTCTTTCCTTTCTTGCCAAGCTTACCTACAAAAAAATATTAACACATTCCATGTAAGATTTTTACTAAAATCTTGATAAAAAATATAATTATTATAATAAAAATAAATATCTTACTTTTTTTTGATATGTAATAAGATTTCTGTGGGGTGTAATCTTCGTCGCTAGTATCATCATCACTAGCGCTAGCGCTTTCTTCATCATCGGAGGATTCCTTCTTACGTTTGTTAGGAGTCTTTTTAATATAATTTCGCTTAGCTAGCTTTTTCTCTTTTTCTTCCTCCTTTTCAGATCCGTCTTTCTTTTCCACCTCATCATCTTCAGACTCTTCACTAGCAGCCTTCTTCTTTCCCTTCTCTCTTGCTTGAAGACATTTCATGATTAAATCATCCAACTCCTTTTTTTTCCTATAAAGAATGAATTCCACCTCATCATCTTCAGACTCTTCACTAGTAGCCTTCTTCTTTTTCTTCTCTCTAACTTTTTTTTCTTGAAAATATTCCATGACTTCATCCATCTCCTTTTTTTTCCTATAAAGAATGAATGTAAGTTATAGATATTATTTTTTTATGTAATTATTATCAATGCAGGGATAATCTGTAAGCTCAGATGTAAAAGCATGTTAGAGGAGGAACGAGGTGGTAACTTTCTATTATACTGGCAGTTCCACTCAGAAATTCCTCTGTTTTTTCTAGAACACTGAGAGACTCTCTTCTGCACAATTTTATAGTGCCTATTATATGCCCGTTTTAAAGTGATTCAATTTCAGGGATAACAATCAATAAAATACATTTTATACTAAAAGACAAACTATATCGTAATAATATCATCTGCGTGTCCATGGATACTCGTAGTATGCACATTGACAGACACAGCCAGGAAAGTGCAGCGTGTCATATATCTAAAGAAAACGGCAGTAGTTTCTAACGAGGATTGCCGCGAGTAACAACCGTGAATCACTTGCTTATCATTCCCTGAAGAGTTAACTGGCTGATCGATAATGGGTATGTCCGTATGTAATATTTCGACGCAACTTCCGCGTGATCACGCTTTTTTAAATGTGATTTGATATCTCATTTGATTTTTAAGAAACATGAGCGACCGGAGCAAACGATATAAATCTAAGGAGCTGACGGAGCGATTCTTTAAATTCTCAAGGAAGGTAAAACAGATGCTTTAAGTCTTTTTCTACGGGAATTATACACTCAGAGAAAAAAATTGTTGCAGTAACTACGATTTCACTATAATTTTTAGTTATTTTCGATGTCAACTACATTTTTATAGTTATTTTAACAATGCAAATTATAGCTGACTCAATACTACAATACATTATTGTTGTCATAGTTTTAATACGCATTTATTCAGCCATACCATGATTTTATAAACTATAACCTGTGCTTGATGTGTAGCAAGTCGTACTATAAATATGATGAAAATGACCATAATTGAAACATCTATGCATATAAGATTATTTTTACTAATATTATAGCAATAATAACTATAAAAATAAGAACCTCAACTATAATTATTTTACTATGCAATTATAGAGTTGTAAATATCAAATACTTTTCTCTTAGTGTACAATTCCAATACAAATTTAATTTGTTACAGCTAATTTCGTGAATTAAAAAATAAAAAATAGAAATTTTTTCCCTGCTTAACATTATAAAATGTATATCAGTATAAAATTACCTTTTTCAAAAAAGGTAAAAAAAAAGGGGACCAATAAATTTATCTATCTATCTATATGATTCAGACATTTATTCTAAACAAAATTATTAGATTAATTTTACCTGTCCAATCTATTTAATGATATAACGGGAAATTTAGGCCTTGCACTTATTGATGTCACATTCCCACTGCGCGATATTTTGGGAATCTCAGTTAATATAGGAATAAAATCGTTTTCTTTTGCTGTCTAAAAATATATATAACAGTTAAAATAGTATTCATACATAGAAATCGCTTTGTCAAATAGTATTAATTATTTTATCGTGCTTATATTTCCCTCTTTTTTCTCATTTATATTTTTGTGTATAAATAAAAAATGTTAAATGTACAAATAAAGATATGTTACTTACCCCTGAAGTAGAAGCAAGTT